TCCTGAAACCTGCTTCGTTTTAGTTCTAAACACTCCTTTAGTCCTTGGTATTAATTTATTGATTCTGAAAAAGGAAGAAGTCTTCATAAGTAAGAGTGTGCTTCTTTACTGTTATCATTGTGTGTGTGTGTGTGTATGTGTGTGTGTGTGTATTTACCAGTAGTGTCCACTCCCTCAAAGTGGCATGGCAATCTGGCCCTTATCTAGTATCATTTTATTTCTGTGGTTCAGTAGCTATCAATCCTGTTTCAGTATTGGAATCAACTGGGGAAATTTTGAAAAACACAAGTGCTCAAACTTTGCCCCTAGAAATTCTGATTTAGTGAATCTGAAGTCTACCTCAGCCAACTGAGAAAATCTGATGCACAACTGAAGTTGAGAACTATTTGTGAGGACAGTAAAACTAGTGTTTTATGCTCCATAAAGCTTACTTTTAAAAAAGGAATTAGTGTGCACCCAGCCTTCTCTTCTGTCCTCTCTGCCTGCAAGGATAGAAAGACCTCTGCTCAAACCTTCTCACCAAAATATCATTGGCTTAGACCCTTTCCCTCCACCAAACTCCTATTAGGGTTACTATAGACATCATTCATTAGTCTGATGTCTATGTACAGTGTGTGTATGTGTGCATGAGTGTGTCCCAACTGGTTTATGATTCTTGAAGGAGAGGGATAACATGTTTATGTTTACCATGCACCATTCTAGCCAAGTGCACTTCACACAAGAGGTACTTCATAAAAAAGGATGTTTTAAAAGTACATAAGATGATCCCCAACTGACAATGGTTCAACTTATGATTTTTCAACTTCATGATGGTGTGATTCAGTAGAAACCGTACTTTGAATTTTGACTTTTGATCTTTTCCCACTAGCAGTATTTGGTAAGATATTCTCTCATGACCCCAGGCAACAGCAAGCTGAAGCTCCCAGTCAGCCATGTGATCACAAGGGTAGACGACCAATATACTTAAAACCATTTTGTACCTATACAACCATTCTATTTTTTACTGTCAGTATAGTATTCGTAAATTACATGATCGATTCAACACCTTATTATAAAATAGACTTTGTATTAGATGATTTTGCTCAACTGTAGGCTAATGGTGTTCTGAGCACTTTTAAAGTAGGCTAAGCTATGATGTTCAGTAGGTTACATGTATTAAATGCATTTTTGGCTTAACAATATTTTCAACTTATGATGGGTTTATTGGGACAGAACCCCATCGTAAATCAAGGAAAATCTGTATGTAATTTGGATAATGAAAAGACATTTATAAGTACAGAAATAAAATAGTTTATGTTATTCATAATGAGACCATTAGCTTATAGTAGTGACAAATTTTCAACATGGTAAACATAATTTAAGAAACTTACGGGTTTCAAAGTGTTCCTTAGAAAACAGTCCAAGGCAAAAACAGTCTTGGGACTGTTGAATCACAGATCTGTACTTCTGAAACAAATAACGCAACATATTTTAAGAAAAAAGGAAAAGAAGAAGATAACAGGAGAGGAAGAAAAGGGGAGTATGTCAGAGGGGGAGACGAACCATGAGAGATGATGGACTCTGAAAAACAAACTGAGGGTTCTAGAGGGTAGGGGGGTGGGGGGATGGGTTAGCCTGGTGATGGGTATTGCGGAGGGCACGGTCTGCATGGAGCACTGGGTGTTATGAACAAACAATGAATCATGGAACACTGCATCAAAAACTAATGATGTAATATATGGGGATTAACATAACAATAAAAAAATTAAAAAAAAAACAGTCTTGGGAATTGCTACAACCTGGGGAATGCCATCTAGACTTTATGGGACTCTATATTAGTTAGCTTGGGCTCCATATAAAATATCACAGCCTAGGTAGCTTAAACAACATACATTTATTTTCTCACAGTTCTGGAGGCTGGCAAGTCAAGATCAAGGTACTGGCTGATTTGGTTCCTGTTGAGGACTCTCTTCCTGGCTTGCAGACGGCTACCTTCTCACTGCATCTTCCCATGGCTGGGGAGAGAAAGAGGGTAGAGAGCTCTCTGGTGTCTCTTCTTACAAGGATGCTAATCCTACAGGATCAGGTCCTCACCATTATGACCTTACTTAACCTTACTTACCTCTTTATAGGTCCAATCTCCAAGTACAGTAACATTGAGGGTTAGGGTTTCAATAGATGAATTTGAGGTTGGGGCTGGGTGATACAATTCAGTCCATAGAAGCATCTTTCCACAGCATCTTTGTCCGGTGATCAGCCAGCCATTACACCAATGATTCTAGTGGTGAGAAATCACTACCTGGCAATACTTCATTGTGGAAACGCTCTAATGGTTAGAAAGCACATGTGATATGAAGTCACATTTGTATCCCCAAAACTTCAGTCTTTGGTTCATGATGTGCTCTTAGGAACATCCCAAAACAAATCAAATCTCTACTCTCATAACACTCCTTTAACTAAAGATAAGTGTAGCAGTTATGGATCTCAATCTGCAAATTCAAGTTTGCAAGAAATATAATCTCTTAATTTTACCCAAGGGAGGACTTCAAAATCACACTCAAAATCACACATTTTCTCTTGACTCACCCAGTCCTTCACCTCAAACTACTAGATCCATCTCCTGAAAAGCCGTCATGAAGGAAATGATACCTTATAAACTTTTCTGCCAAAAAAATTTTTCCCCGTCTCAGAATGTTTACTAATTACATAAGATTTCCTGAAATGCCATGTGTTTGATTTATCTATCATACCATTAAATTAAAATACATACAGCTTAAGTGTTATTGGGACTTTATATATTACAAGTTTTATTGTAGCTATTTTACACTGATCACAGCTGTTTTTTCTGATCATAGCCGTGTCAAACTATTATTTCAGAAGAATAAATCTACCATCCAAGTTGATGGGCAGGTTTAAAAAATTAATAACTTTTTTTCTTTTATGAGACCTCCTCATCCAGGCCTATTTTCTGGCCCACAATGCAATAAAACTCTGTATTATTGATTTTCTGGTGAGATAAAATTTTAAAATAATTTTTGATCCATCCTATTAGGCCAGTCCTTCTTAAATGTTCTTCAGTGAAATACCAGTAAGGGAAGAGGACAGAGAGTGCAATATGTACCTGGAAGTAGCCCCTAAACTAAAATTTTGTTGATGATTATGATTAAATCTTAATGAAATTATTCACCTCATTTCATTATATAGCATTGCTTTAAATAGTAAAAAATGTTTCATTTCCCTGACTCTTTCAGTAAATGGACGCTTTAGGAAAATATGTTTACTTTGTGGCTTTGAACAAATTGGTGCTATACCTAAGAATAACCCTTAACTCCAGGCTGGGAAGAAGTGGAGGCTTGGCCTCCACAAGCAGGCCCCATGTGAGAGACTTGAATGACAAAAAAGTTTCAGTTTGGAAACCTGGGGTTTGTTTGCTATGCTCATAATGTACATTAACCCTTATTCCCTTAGACCCTGTTCCCCTGTACTGTTTGTAAACAGGACTCACTTTCTATGGGACCATTAAAGCCTGAAGGTGCAATCCCTTCCGACTCATCACTGTCTTCCAGATAGTCCAAATATCCCGCTTTTCCAGCTAATATTGAGCACTTACTATGTACCTGGTTTCCTTTTAAACTCTTTACATTTGTCAAGTCTTTAATCTGCCCAAAAAATCTATGATGAGGGTATTATTATTATGCCCAATATACAGAAGAGAAAACTGAGATATAACTCACCCAAGGTCACCCAGCTAGTGGATAACTGGCAGCGGACATTCCAACCTAGGCATTCTTAATGGCTACAATATAGTCCTTTAAACGACTCAACATTTAAACTATGCCCTTAAGGCAATAACAAATGTGTAAAATTAAAACACATAAAACCTTGATAATGTTGGATGTGTTATAAAGAAAAAGGTTTTTAAGGTAGACTTTTTATACATATCGAATATTGAGAAGTGCATAAATCATGTTCAAAATAACTATCACTCATGTAGAGAAACAATATAATCAGAGCCCCGTTCCCTCTTTTTTTTTTTTTAAAGATTTTATTTATTTATTTATTTGAGAGAGAGAGAATGAGAGATAGAGAGCACGAGAGGGAAGAGGGTCAGAGGGAGAAGCAGACTCCCTGCTGAGCAGGGAGCCCGATGTGGGACTCGATCCCGGGATTCCAGGATCATGACCTGAACCGAAGGCAGTCGCTTAACCAACTGAGCCACCCAGGCGCCCGCCCCGTTCCCTCTTATGCTCTAAGTTTCAAAGTTCAAAATAACTATTCACTTATTGTTTAAAAGCTGAATTCCATAATCTATTATAAAACCCTAATTAAATTCATTTCCATAATATTATACTCTTTCTAGAGCAGTGATCCTCAAAATGTGGTCCCCAGACAAGCAGCCTAGCATCATCTGGGAACTTGTTAGACTTGCAAATTCAAGGATCTCAATCCAGACCTACAGAACAGAAACTCTGGGAGTGGAGCCCAGCGATTATGTGTTAACAAGCCCCCGAGCTGATTGTGATGCACGCTCAGACTGGAGGGGCAGGGATGTTAAGTCCGTTGGAATGGTGATTGCGTTAGTTGGTGATTTGCGTACTGTCTCAGGTGAATACTAGCGTATAAAGCATTACCCTTGAATAACGGTGACAAGTTCTAATAACCTACCTCTTTGAAGTACACTGCAAGTAAAATGCTTTTCTATTTTAACTAACCGTGTTTCCAACCCCGTCGATATTGCATTTTATCAGGAGTATAAAGCAGGCCCCTTACTTCCTAACCGGTCCCCTACCGGTAGCTCAATCAGCAGTAGTCCAGTTTACCTACAGAGCCCGACCCCAGTGTGGCTGGGAATTTACCCAGAGGCGGGAGCAGGCCTCGGCCAATCAAAAGCAAGGCTCAAGTCGCTCGCCCATTCTGGCTGTGTGATTGGTGGTTTCCCACCGGCGGAAGAGACCCTTGGGGGCACCGCCCAGGGTCCTCCAGCGCAAGCCAATCGTCGCTCCGCGCCTGGAGGGGCGGACCAGCGCGAGTAATTTAACATGGCGGAAAATGCCACCGTAGAGGCTCCGAGCCCGCGGGGGTGTGCGGATGGGGAGGACGCAGAGCCCCAAGAGGAGGGGATGGCAGAAACGCCGAGAGATGATCAGGAGCAATTTGAGTGCCAGGAACTGCTCGAGTGGCAAGTGCAGGTGGGGGGCCCCGAGGAAGAAGAGGACGCGGGCCCGGTGGCCGAGGCCGAGGCCGAGGCGGTAGCTGCCGGCTGGATGCTCGATTTCCTCTGCCTGTCTCTTTGCCGGGCCTTCCGCGACGGCCGCTCCGAGGACTTCCACCGGACCCGCGACAGTGCCGAGGGTGAGTGCTGGGCGCGACCGGCGGGTGGCTGCGCTGGGGCCGGGGGCGTCGACGCGCAGCGGGGCGAGAACCGCGGCGGACGGTCGAGGCCCGGTTTGCGGCGCAGTACGCCCAGTGCGGTCGGGGGACCGGGGCTCTGAGGTGAACGTTGATTCGAATCCCGCATCCGCCTATTTCCAGCCTCTCAGTTTTTCTCAGATTCTGTTTTTCTCTTCAGTAAAAAGAATAAGACTCCCATTTTAGAATTGACACAGGTTTCAGTGAGTGAAAATGTATAAAATTGCCCAGTGTCCCAAGTCCTTTTTCTTCTTTGGCGCTTGTAATTGTTGTTTCTTTCGACTCAGGTATTCCCGTGATGGCATTTATGAAGCGGTCACAGTGGCCTCCAAGTGACCCAAGCATCGGCGTTTTCTATTATTTTGTGAGCTTTTAAAGTCCCATTTGGCCTGCTTGCACAGTATAGGCTGCAGAATAAAAATAACTGTCAATGAAATGTACTCCCTAGGCAACGCAGACTGTAACTGATGGACAAAGACACAGACTCAGAGAAGACTAGCCTGGCTTTTTCAGTGATAACAGAAAGATGCTCTGCTATTTAATATAAAATTAAATACTTCAGAAAACTATATTAACACATTTCATCTTCATGGCCATCCCATTCCTTAGGCAAGTAATTTTAGTTTATAGAGGAATGGACTAATTAAGCAACCTCAAACATTGGTAGGTTAAAAGGAATGTTCCACACTTGTGCCTTATCTTCCAATTCAAGAACCCTTCCTCCAACTCTATCAGAACACTGGAGCCATGGTTAATTAACATTAGGGAGAAAGTTAAATCCTAAATTGGTTTATTATAGTGATTTATTTAAAAAGTCCACTTTGGGGAAGAGGGTAGAATTATCTCTGTAGAATTATCTCGAAATGAATTTGAGTTGGAAACATCAGTATGACCTCCTGTTTGCCTTCATACAGGTATAGATGGTGTTCAGAGGCAAAATTCAACCAAGTGAATTTGCAGATCTAATTGCAGATAAGCAATTTCATGAATTGGGCAGACAGCATCCCACCTAGCAAGTAGGGGGGAGCTTGGAGTTGTACAAAATGGAAGATTTTTAAAGGAAGGAGGGTGGGGCAAGAAAGTTATTAGCAAAAGAAAAGGATTGTTCCAGGCTAGGTACTTTCCCTTAGGAGGAAGGGGGTCTTATGCAAATTAACTCCTCTTCCTTTGGGGGATGGAGAGGACCCATTCGGCAGATTCTCTGGCTCCAGTCACAAAATTCCTTACCAGCAGGTTAAGACTATATTTCTGGGGGAGGTTGAAAGTGCAGTTAGATTTGGTGTTAAGCCCCAGTTTGGGCCAGTGGTTTTCTTTTAACAGTGGTTACATATAGAAGTATATATGGGTATTTCTATACATATCTAGACACAGGTTAGTATATACTCATATATTTCCTTGTTCTGTTGGAAGGGCACAGAAGCGGGCGCCCGGGTGGCTCAGATGGTTAAGCGACTGCCTTCGGCTCAGGTCATGATCCTGGAGTCCCGGGATCGAGTCCCACATCGGGCTTCCTGCTCAGCGGGGAGTCTGCTTCTCCCTCTGACCCTCCCCCCTCTCATATACTCTCTCTCTCTCTCTCTCTCTCTCTCTCTCTCTCTCTCATTCTCTCTCAAATGAATAAAATCTTTAAAAAAAAGAAAGAAAGGGCACAGAAGCAATGTAACCCTAAATAGCAACCTAGCACTTGAGTCTTGGTTTCTAATACCATTCCTTAAGAAAGACAGCTAGAGCTCTTTGGAGAAATGGCCTGGTTCTGGGACTGGGACAGGAAATGTGCAGAGCAACTCAAGCAAGGAAATAGTTTGGATTAGAACCCAAAGGTCAAATAATTATCTGTGAGCCCATAATGATGTAAATAAATGATGGAGAAAATAAATGGGAGAAGAAACAAATCTCATGCAGAAGAATTCAAGTAATTTATGTAGCTACTATGTCCTCAAGGAGGTGAAGTGTAACACCCCACTCCTGTGCTGTGCATAGTGACTTTATTCTGAAGACTACAGTATGAAATTGGAGGGAGGATAATTTTACAGGAGAGAAACCTGACAAACACTACTTCACACCTAGGCAATCAAGGTCAACAGGAACAGTGACAGTTGGTAGTATGTACACTTTATGTGATGTGTCAAATATGGAACTTCTTTGATCTTTCTCCCAAAACCCCTTAGTCAAATTGTAAGAAAAACATAAGACAAACTGCAATACAGAATGCCTCAAAACTGCCAAGGTCATCAAAACCAAGGAAAGTCTGAGAAACTTTCATAGCCAAGAGACGCCTAAAGAGACATGGTAACTGAATGTAACGTGTCCTGGGTGGGATCTGCAGCAGAAAAAGGACATGAAGTAAAAACTAAGGAAATCTGAATAAAGCATGGACTTTAGTTAAGAATGTATTAATTCTGGCTTGTTAATGTATATATTTCACGCTAATATAAGATGTTACTAGTAGGGGAAACTGGGTGGAGGGTATATAGGACTTATATCCTCACAATAATTCTGTAAATTAAAAACCATTCTAAAAAATAAAGACTCCTTTTGAGGTTCTAGATCAAGACCCAAGGAATAATCTAGGCCACCTCTTATTATTTTAAAGTTAAGGGCACAGAAACCCAGAGAAAGTAAACTATTTTTAAAGTTGTACTGCTAATCAGTGACATAAATTGTGAACATAGTGTTGTCTCTGTGTTTCCATTTTTGACTGAAAGGACTCCCTTTTATCTTCTATAGGATTTCATTTATTACACTTTCAACGTTGTAAAAATACACAACTCTTGATGCTTTCTAGAAAATTCTTAGTTCTTTCATTCTGACTCAGAATTGTTCTCACACCTCACTTAACTCAGATAATGCCTTTTCCAGACTGTTATTCCTAACCTGTCTTTGTCCATGGGAAGCAGTGTAAGATAGTGGTTAAGAGCATGGGCTCCAGAATAAATTGTCTGAATTTGATTCCTGGTTCTGCTACTTCCTAGCTGTAAGACCTGACGCAAGTTACCTTTTGGTACCTCAATTTCCTCATCTGTAAAATGGTGATAATAGTATCTACCTCACAGAGCTGTTGATAGGTATAAAGCAAGGATTCTCCACCTCAGCACTGTTGACATTTTGCACCACATAATTCTCGTTCTGTGTATGCATGAGAGTGGAGGGGGCGAAGGTGGGGCTTCTCCTGTACATTGTAGGATGTTTAGCAGCTCCCCTGACCTCAACTACGAGATGCGAGGAGCATCCCCCTTCCACTCATGATCAGAATTGTCTTCAGACACTGCCAGATGTCCTCAAGGGGACAGAAATGACCTCTAGTTGAAAAATCACTGGTGTAAAGTGCTTCGACTAGTGCCTGGTATTGTAAGTGCTTAAATATGGTTGCTATTGTAGCTAGTCATTAGATTTCCCTAGTCATTAGATTTCCCTAATGTGTTTTTCTGTCAGCAATGTTTGGTTACAGGTGAGGAAAAAACAGATAGCAAGGTTCAACCAGGTTTTCATTGTTTTTGTTTTGTTTTTTGTCTAGCAGGTACAAAGAACAGAAGGGCAGGGGTGTATAAGAGATTTGTAGTTACTGCGTAGTGGACTAAATTGAACGCGGAAGGAAGTGAAGATAGAGATCTGACTTCTCTAGAATAGAGTAGATTCATTTGTTTTGCTTCTATACCATACTTTTAACCTTTGTGGCATTAAAATTTTATTTAATAACTTGCATAAATTTTGGGTTATGTCTTCTCAAGCTAAAACCTTCCTGAGGGGCAGGGGCTGACTGTCTTTTTTTTTTTTTGTAATATTTTATTTATTTATTTGACAGACAGCGAGAGAGGGAACACAAGCAGGGGGAGTGGGAGAGGGAGAAACAGGCTCCCTGCTGAGCAAGGACCCCTCCCCCCAGATGCGGGGCTCATGACCTGAGCCCAGGGCAGATGCCTAATGACTGAGCCACCCAGGCGCCCCAGGGGGCTGACTGTCTTATCAGCCCCTAACATTGACTAGCAGTGGATGTTTAATAAATATTGAATGAATTGTTTAAGTTTTATATAAATTTTGTGCTCTCTCTGAATCCTGTTTAATTAAATTGTGGCTGTTTTTGGTCCAGATAATCTCTAGTATAGTATAAGATTATGCTATTTTTGAATTGAGGAAACAAATACAAATAAATGTATTTGTCTTTTATCTCCTTAGTAGCTGCAGGACTGCTTTTTGGTTTTGCTAGTTGATTTAATCTTTGCATACACCAACCAAGCCCTGGGTGAAGTATAACAGTGGCATCTTCAGGTTTTACTTTAAACATTATTTCCTCAGAAAAGCTTTCCTATCTTCTCCCTCCAGCTATACTAAAACACACTCTAAGGTTTGTTATATTGCACCCACAGCATTCCGTACTTGTCTTTTTCAGTTTTCTCCATGTTTTTAACTTCAATTGCTTAATCATTTGTCTTTCATTTCTACATAGTATATGTGCTGCCAAAGCGAGCACTTTCATCTCTACATAGTTAATAAATTCACTGAGGTCCAGGATTTTACACACCATTATACTCACTGCCTAACATAACATCTGGGTGGGCACTCAAATATTTGGGAGATTAATATTAATAAATGTGTTTGTTTTTATACATCTGCAATTTTATTTCTTCCTTGGAGTTAGGATTGTGGAGAAACAGGTTTTGTTGGAGAAATAAACTTTTTTGCTGAAATTGTATCCTGAAAGTTTTAAACCAATAGCAGAAGGGGAAGATAGGTAGTTGGTAAACTGGGGCCTAAAGTTGCTACCCCCTTTCCATGTCTGCCCCCATGACTTCCTGTCCCAAACCAAATTACTATAGGGAAGGGAACTATTATCTTAATTTTGCTCAGTTGGTGATCTAGACAGGAGACCGAGAAGGGGGTGACCACAAGTTCCCAAGAATGAAGGGCATAAGTCCATTCATTGTACGTCTCTGTCTGACGTACAATCCTTAAGACCTCTGTCAAAGGGTAAAAGATAGCTAGATGGACTCGATTTGTTTCCAGACCTTTTCCAGAGCTTTTCTGTCCAGCTGTCACCAACGAACAAAGCGAAAACCAAGGCCACACCCACGACAGCCCCTTTGAATTTCCAGAATAAGTGTTGTTATATTAGAGCTGAGTGGCAGCTTTTGAACATTCCTCTTAGATGAGCTGAATATGATTTTTTTTAAGATTTTATTTATTTATTTATTTGAGAGCGAGAATGAGAGAGAGAGCATGAGAATGGGGAGGGTCAGTGGGAGAAGCAGACTCCCTGCTCAGCAGGGAGCCCGATGTGGGACTCAATCCTGGGACTCCAGGATCGTGACCTGAGCCGAAGGCAGTCACTTAACCAACTGAGCCACCCAGGTGCCCGAGCTGAATATGATTCTTTTCCACATGTCCTGAGGAACCACACTCGAGGTGGTTTTAGCCTGGGAGTTAGAACATGGAGCGCCTTCTGCCACCACAAACTCTTCCACCAGCCCGCATGGCAGGTCTGACGTGCTCACTTCTCCGCTTGCCCAGGAGCTTCTGCTTAGCAGAGCATTATAGCAGAGTGTTAAGGTGAAAGCGCAGAGCAACAAGCAGAGGTGGCTGCCCTGAGGGAGGCCATGCCTCCCTGGGCCCGTAGGCCTGGGGTGCTTAGTGTCACACCCATCTGTTGGGACAGCAGGACCAGCTTGACTGGCCTCCTGCCTCCCTGTGGCACTTATACTGCAGGTCAGGACTTCCAGGTCAGTGCTGCAGAATTCTGGAGTTGCCTATTGGGGTAGAGGCTTTATTGCAACATCCCCATGGCAAGAAAGGCCAACACACGTTTGTTGGATTGGGCTGTGAGCTCACTTCTTTGGACCCGCAGGGCCCTTAGGAAAGGCTCAGGGCCTAGGGTCTAGCACCCTGTCACCACCTGGGCCATCCCTGTTGCGGCCATCTTGCCCCAATAAATATGTTTTTTTTTTAAGTTTTTGTAAACTTAACAGACTCACTTAACTGAAACCTTGACCAAAATAATATAAAATATTTCCTATAATATTAGGAGTTTTAAGGTATAAAGCTTCCAGCTAATGATTTGACACATTTTACAGTTTGAATCTAAATCTCCCTTTTTGTTAGTATAGAGTGCTACCTGTGGAAGTACTATTAAATATTTATTATTCTGCATGTGGAAATCTGTTTTACTTTGTAAGAAAAGTGTTCTTTGCTGTTTTTTCTCATTTAAGAAAATGCTATAGGGGCTCCTGGGTGGCTCAGGCGTTAAGTGTCTGCCTTCGGCTCTGGTCGTGATCTCAGGGTCCTGGGATGGAGCCCTACATCGGGCTCCCTGCTCCGCAGGAAGCCTGCTTCTCCCTCTCCCACTCCCCCTGCTCTGTTCCTTCTCTCGCTGTCTCTCTCTGTCAAGTAAATAAATAAATCTTCAAAAAAAAATGCCTATAAACAAAAGCATACAGCTCTCAGTTTGTGATCATTTTTGCATGTTTGTAACCTAATTACTCAACAACCACACAGAGGCACTGCTGGGTCAAGTTTGGCTTTTTTAAAAAAAATGTTTTAATGTTTTTCTTTTTCAGCTATTATCCACGGAATGTCCAGTCTAACAGCTTATCAATTGAGAACTATATACATATGTCAGTTTTTGACAAGAATTGCAGCAGGAAAATCCCTCGGTAAGTATGTGTTTTTATCTTATGTTGGAAATATTTTAATCTATGTCTAAAGGTAAAACAATGAGAAGAAACAGATGAGATCCGTTATTTTTGAGAGTTGGCACTATGTGCTTGGTACGTTCAGCTACACAAGCATATCTAAAGCAACTAAAAGAAATATAGTTCCAATCTTCTTAGAGCACTGGTTGTTAAACTTAGCTTGCTTCAGAATTATTAGAGAACTTGTTAAAAAAAAAAAAAAATAACAGTTCTCCACCATGAATTCCTGATGCAATAGGATGGATAGGAGGGGCCCAGAAGTTTGTATTTCTAATAAGTTCCCAGGTGATTCTGACACTGCTACTGGGGAGCCACACTTCATGGACTGTCTTTTGGAGAGTTTACCTCAGATTTGACTGTACGGTAACTTTGTGGTGACTCTTACTATTATACACACTGATTTTAGTAGCAACTACGATAATTGACACCTCTTACTTGAACTGGATTTCAGCACTTCTGTAGATAGGCCCATGTGATTTGTAGCTATAATAGCTCTCTCCTTTATCTCCACAGGTTATTTTAGATTGTAATGGGTAAGCCTGCTTCAGTTTATGAGTAATGGCTGATATTTACAACATGGTCATTTAAAGGACCTTTTGATGCAAATAATTATATATTTATATTGGTTTTTACAGTTTACAAAATGCTTTCCCAAAAGTGCCAAGTGGTAGGCGGTACTTAAAATGAAACCACTTACTTACAATCCTATTGTGTTACATAAAATCCCAGTGTGTTTGTACCATTCTCATGGTCCTCACTTTCTAGCTCTGGCTCACATAGCATGCTTCTTGTTGGGGGTGAGGCCAGGTCTGGAGTTGGTGCCATGACCATAAGTGAATAGGACGAGAAGCAGAGTAAATGTAGGGGAGACAGAACTATAGGTAGCCTGGGCCTGTAGCTAAAGAAGAAAACCATCTTGATGTGGACATAATTGGAGAATTCCTGACCATGTAGACAATAAGTTAGCATGGTTGTTAACACTTGTTTTGTAAATTAAATATGACAACATAAAGTGCCCAAATGTGTTTCACATATTAGCAATTGTTCAGTGGATCTTACTTTCTCCCCCGACAACCCTTTCTTTCTGAAAAGAAATGCAGATTTTGTGTGTAACCCCATTAATCTTGAAATTCACCAGGATCCCCTTTTAGGTATATCTTAGAATAGGCCCATGTCAATTACCAAGAATCAGTGTATTTCACCATAATGGACTCAAGTGAAACAACAAAATTTTATTTCAATTTATATGTTGGATTTTTAGCTATACATAACCTTTTTGCCTTTTTTTTTAAGTGGTTGCTCAACAGCAGCACTGCCTACTAGAAACGTAATACGAGCTACATATGTAATTGAAAAGAAATAGGTGGAATTAAATTTAGCAGTATCTTATTTATCCCAATATTTCTAAAATATATATCAACATATAATCAATATAAAACATGTTAATAAGATATTTTACCCCTTTTTTTGCAGTAAGTCTTTGAAATCTGGGGTCTATTTTATACTTAAAGCACATCTCAGTTTGGAACTAGCCATATTTTTTTTTTTAAAGATTTTATTTATTTGAGAGAGAGAATGAGATAGAGAGAGAGCATGAGAGGGGAGAGGGTCAGAGTGAGAAGCAGACTCCCCGCTGAGCAGGGAGCCCGATGCGGGACTCGATCCCAGGACTCCAGGATCATGACCTGAGCTGAAGGCAGTCGCTTAACTAACTGAGCCACCCAGGCGCCCTGGAACTAGCCATATTTTAACGGCTCATTAATTATATATGGCCAGTGGCTACCACATTAGCTTTAGTTTCCTGCTGCAAATAGCTTTAAAATACAGTAAATGTCTTGGAGGGGAAATGTTTGTTTATGGCAGCCACCCTCATCTCATGGGACTTTATTTTTTAAGATCTGTGCAATTCTGGGAGACTTCCCTTCCTTTCTACTCCAGCTTTCTGCAGCGCCCCAGAACTCAGCAAATGTCCTGAGGGGAAAACCAACCATGTGTTTCAGTTCCTCTAGTTTCCAGTCCACCATCTAGCCCCAAGGAATCCACCAGGAGCTTCTCCTCATTTCTCTTACACCAGTAAAATCTCCCTGCCTGGAATACACTGAATCCTCATCCTTATAAGCAAATGAGGCCAGGAAAGAAAAGCTGCAAATCATCCGCTAACCCCTAGAAATATAGTTCATCTAGTTCTTTTTGCTTCCACTACTATCCCATGTCTTTGGCAATATAATTTTGCAACTTATTCCACTTTTTTCTAGTTGTAATGGGAGCGTTGGCCTACTGCATTATCCTGCATTCTACCTGAAAGTAAAAGGCTACTCTAAAATGTTTGAAGTTAAGATCTTAACACTTTTTTCTATAAGTACATTTTTTTGTACATCTCACATTTATAAGAAGGCAGCAGATTAATGAGTTGGGTTAGATAATATCAGTCAAGAAAGACTTAATAGGAAATACAAATATTGAAGTGAGTTTTTAAAAGAAAAACAAATGTGAAATGAAGAAGGATTAGGCATTCTGCCTTTGCATTTTCATATTTCATGTTTTCTAGCACATACTCTAGCCTTACCAGGCATCTTGTTATTCCTGAAACACACCTTTTTTCTGAGACACAGTAAGTGGTTTTTAAGGGTCTGGTGTCTGCTGCTTCTACTTGCTAGCTGTGTGACCTCTCTAAGTCTCAGGTCCTACTTTATAAGACAAGATTGATAATGTTGTATACCCTTTTAAAGAAGTGGTTTGGATAAAGGAGCTCCTGCATGTTAAACACTTAGCATAGTGCCTAACACATAGGAGGACCTTAATATGTGTTGACTTATGAGTGTGAATATCTTTTTTCCTCTGCCTTATGTTCTGCTGCTGCCTTCCTGAAATGTTCTCCTTCCCATCCTTATCCTCTTAGTTATCTCCTGTTTATCCTCAATGTCCTAATTTGGATGGTTTATCTTTCATAAAGGATTCTTTGTTAGTATCCTCTAATAGAACTAATCTTAGAAAATACAGATGCATGGGCTGTACCCTGTACTAACTAAACCCTCTCTAGAGGATGGGTCTAGGCATCTGCATTTTTTTTAAAAGCTCCTCACATGATTTTGAGGTATAGATAGGGTTGACAATCACCGGCATAATACATAATTCTAGTAAAGGACCAGTCACAGTGGTTTCTTTCTTCATAGCTAGCGTGCAAATTTCATGAGGGCAGGAACTGTTTCTTCCTGGTCTGATCCTAAGTATCTGGCACAGGGCCTGGAATATAAAGAGACTTTTTTTGTATATGAATTAAGATATTTTTATGTTTAAAATGTTGGAGAAACAATTAGGAGAAAACAGGAAATTGTTTCTACAAAGTAGAAATTGTTGAAACTGCTAACATTTAAATTGCATGCTCCTTCTAGTTTTTCAAAGGAAAAAAAGGAAATTAACTTGAAAAATCAAATCACTTCCCTAAACTTTTGTATACGGACTGGAATAGTACCTGGCACATAGTACATACTCAGTAAATATTTAAAGAAATGAAATCATAAAAAATTGACAAAGTAAGGTTCTACTTCGCTTCCTAAGTTAGTTATTTTTGTTCTGGTTTTAAAAGATGCACAGTTTGAAACTGATGAACGAATTACACCCTTGGAATCAGCCCTGACAATTTGGGCTTCAATTGAAAAAGAACATGACAAACTTCATGAAGAAATACAGAATTTAATTAAAATTCAGGTATGTGTATTACATTATTATTGTTATTTTGCATATAACTCTAAAGAAATTAAGAACCACTTAATAGAAGTTGAGCAGTAAACCCAAAGTAAAATTTAATATAATCATTTTCTTCAGAAATTTGACCTTTGGTTTATAGTCTTCATGCAAGCTCTGAGAACGGGAACTTACTGTTTGCTACCTAAGTATATATTGCCCCCACTTGAGAAAATACATAACATTGATTTAAAGATCATAAAGCAACTTTCAAAAACCAGTGATTTGTGCTCTCCCAATTTCTATTCAAGATTACAAATAAGAAAAAAATAAGAATATTTAAAAAGAAATCAATGGATTTTTGTAAGTAAGAGAATGTAAAATTTTATGTAGAGGGAATTTTAGGAGTCACCTTATTAAAGAGTGAAAAGCTAAAAAAGTCATTCAAAGATACAGTGGCAGGGAAAGTATGTTTTGCTAACAAGCAAAGCAAATACTAAGGATTGTTCTAGTTAAATAAATTTGTCCTCATTTTTAGAAAATTACTTTATGGTTGGGTAGGAGAGAAAATCTGAATGATATCTCACCTTCCCCAAAATTAATTATTGTTAGTATGGTGACTGCCAAGTAGCATTAAGACCAGAAGAGAATGGCAGAAATATGACTGCTACTTTTAAGAATTTCAGCCTGGGACAAAGAGATTTGTTATGTTATCTCAGTTTTGAGGGATTCTAGAGAAGGAGGCCATCATTAATATACTAGTATAAAGTTGAGTGGGTTACCATAAATACATAGCAAATATGCAATACATTGCTTACTATTTGTCAGGTACCGTTCTGAGCACTTTTCATGTAGAACTCCAATCCTTACGGCAACCCTACGAATAGGTACTATTATCTCCACCATTTTCCATACAAAGAAACAAGAGGCACATGAGGTTAAATTGCTTGCCAAAGCTACCCAGATGGTAACGGTGGTTCCCTATTTTACTACATACTGTATTAGAAAGGCCATTTTATCAATCGATCATTCAGAAGCATCTGGCTTCCTAGGTTTCTATTAGAGATTTTTCAGGGATCCTACTAGCTAATTTTATATATCCTAATTGTCATGAACGCCATCTACCTTCTCTCTCATTTCGCTTTTGCTCAAAGTAATATTTAGGTGGGTCCTAAATGTATATAATGTAGCTCCTAATTTATTTATTAATGTCTACTTTTAATTGGCCTAAATTTGAAAGAGCTAGAACGCTTGGGCATTTATCAGTAAATATGCAAAGGGGCCAATGAAAAACTTTTACATCTTTTTCAAGCCACAGTTATTTCATCTTTGAAAAGAGAATTTATATCATGTATCAATTTTTAAGTGAAGTAGTTTAGACTTAACAGGACTTATTTCAATACTAAACAATTATACATTTTTAAAAAGCAATCTAAGGTTTGTATTTGTCATCCTGTCTTTTAGGCTATAGCTGTTTGTATGGAAAATGGCAATTTTAAAGAAGCAGAAGAAGTCTTTGAAAGAATATTTGATGACCCGAATTCTTATGAGGTAGTTGTTTATATTAGAATCAGAATTTTAGAACTGCTTATATGGAGTGAGGTAAATAAAAGAGCACTGGAGGAAGAAAGGGATGTTTTATCTTTTAAACAGTATAGAACAGTGCTGTCCAATAGAAATATAATTGCAAGTCACATGTGTTTTAGCAGCCACATTAAAATAGTTGAAAGAAACTAGTGAAATGGATTTTAATATTTCATTTAGCCCAATATATCCAAAAACATCATTCTTAGCATTTAATCAACATAAAAAAGTATTGATGGGATATTTTATACTCTCTTTTATTTATTTGAGACAGAGAGAAAGAGAGCACGTGCACGGGCAGGGGTGGAGGGGCAGAAGCAGGCTCTCCTCTGAGCAGGGAGCCCAGTGGACCCTGGAATCATGACCTGAGCTGAAGGTAGTCACTTAACTGACTGAGCCACCCAGGCACCCCCAGAAAAAAGCATTATAATTAGCTTATTTTTCTAGAGGGTTCTTACGTGATCATTAGTTTTTGTGTTTATGTGTAATGTTAAGGTCAATTGAACTTAGTTTTTAAATAGTAAAAAAAGTGTTGTTGGAATAAATTAAGCTTATTTAAAGAAATAAAAAATAGTTTTATACATTTTTAGTGAACTTTTTATTCAACAGCATACCTTTAGTAGCATACATGTACTATAAGTGTATAAAGAGATGTGTTTTCACAAGAAACATGCTTTTGTGATGACCCCCTAGATCAAGAGAAAGAACATTGCCAGCACCCTCCTGTCACTGTCTCTCCCATCTTTTCAAGGATAACCACTATCCTGACTTATAACATCCAAGATTAGTTTTACTTGTTTCCAAACTTTATGTAATTACATAGCAAGTTTATGTAAGATTGATCCATGGTGTTGCTTGTAACAATAGTTCATTTATTCTCATTGTTCCACTGTTGGAATATGCAACTTATCCATTCTGCTGTTGAGAAACATTTGGGTTATTTCCAGTTTTGGGCTGTTACATTCTTTTACATATCTTTTGTAGAACAAATATATGTGTTTCTGTTGGATATATACTTAGGAATAGAATTGATGGGTTGTAGGATATGCAATACTCGGATTTAGTAGATACTGCCAAACAGTTTTCCAGAGTGGCTATGTTACATCCGTTCCTTCAGCAGTGTGGAAGAGTTCCACTTGCTTCACAGACCTTCTCTGTAGTTTTCCTTTTAGTTCTGGCAAATACGTAGTAGTATCACATTGGGTTTTGGTTTCTCTTTCTTTGACTAGTGAAGTTGAGCACCTTTGAGCATGCTTCTATACAGTTGAGGGGTGATTACCTTAATCTCTTGAGGGACTGAGCTGAGTCAAGAGTAGATTGAAGTTTTATTAAGGCTCAGTCTATCTCTAATTTGCCACTGTTCCTAGGGTATAACCCTCCAGAGATTTCAGCTGAAAGCCTGATCTGTTTATTGGGTTCCCTGCCCCTACTTTTTTGCCTCAGCACTGTGAGGTTACTGAAAAAGCCCACTCTATACTTCCCAGAAGGAAGCTTACAGCCAGTAAGCATAAGAGGAAATGCTTAACCTCACTAGCATGAGTAATCAGGGCAGTCCCAAGTAATATATTGAAATAGTATTTCCGGGCGCCTGGGTGGCTCAGTTGGTTAAGCAACTGCCTTCGGCTCAGGTCATGATCCTGGAGTCCCGGGATCGAGTCCCACATCGGGCTCCCTGCTGAGCAGGGAGTCTGCTTCTCCCTCTGACCCTCTTCCCTCTCGTGCTATCTCTCATTCTCTCTCAAATAAATAATAAAATAAAATCTTTAAAAAAAAAAAAAAGAAAAAAGAAATAGTATTTCCTGTACCTCAGACTGGCAATGGTTAAAATATCTTAGAATACTAACAGTTCGCTCAAAGAGTGGAGAAATGGTAAGACTGCCATACCTTCTCAGTGCTGTAAATTAGCACTTAAACTTTGGAGAGCATTTTAGCAAAATTTGTAAGTATGCATTCCAGCAATTCTACTTCTAGATAAATACCCTAGAGTAACTGATTTTATTTTTACTGCACATTTTAAAAGCCATGAAGGCTTTTTTTTTTTTTTAAGATTTATTTATTTATTTTAGAGAGAGCATGGCCGAGTTGCGGGGGAGAGACAAAAGGAGAGGGACACTCTCAAGCAGACTCCCCACTGAGTGTGGAGACCAACTTGGGGCTCAATTCCAGGACCCCAAGATCATGACCTGAGCCAAAATCAAGAGCTGGCCACTCAACCGACTGAGCCACCCAGGAGTCCCTAAAAGCCATGAAGTTTTATTTAAAAAAAACAAACAGGCCCCACTAAGACAGTTGGTCTGGAATACAGCCTGAGAAGTAGAATTTTCTGAAGGTTCTGTAGCTTTTATTGTGCAACCAGCCTTGAAAGAACTAATGTCCAAGAGAAGCTTGTACTGTGTACAAGAAGACCTGTAGAAAAATGTTTAACAATATTGCAGTAATAGAAAATAGCCTCTAAAAGCTTTCAAAAGACTGGAAGAATGGATGAATAAATGATATTTTTGATCAGTGGACTATTGTACAATAGTGAAAGTAACTAGTTCTATAAAAATCAAATAACATGGGGACGTCTGGGTGGCTCATTTGGTTAAGCATCTGCCTTCGGCTCAGGTCATGATCTCAGGGCCCTGGGATCAAGCCCTGCATTGGGCTCCCCGCTCAGCGGGGAGTCTGCTTCTCCCTCTGCCTGCCTCTCCCACTGCTTGTGCTCTCTCTCTGACAAATAAATAAAATCTTTAAAAAAAAAATCAGATCAATATGGATAAATGTCAACAGAGTTGAGCAAATATGACAAGTTTCAGAAGAATACGCATATGCTAAATAGTACCGTATTATTTATGGGTACATTCATACTTAGTACAAGTATGTAAAGGAATGCGTGGATATGGTAAATTCTAAATTCAGGATAATGGCTACCTTGAGGAGAGGAGAAGCTGGAGGTGTAATCGATGATGTTTTATTTCTTGGCAATGGACATTCAGGTTCATGATTTATTTTTTAATCCTTTTGTATGTGTGTGAAATACAAAGTAGTTAAAGTAAGAAATACATTGGTGGGCCATTTAAAATACGAATTTTTAAAAGTCCCGTGTCTCTGAGTTTATAATGTGATTTTTTTAGTTAAATAAGACAAAATTTCTACCATCCTATTTGTGATTTATGTGTTAATTCATTTTTCCTGTTGTCTTTAGCCTTTAAAAAGGAAATTGCTTATGATAATCTCTCAGAGAGATACATTCCACTCAATTTTTCAACACTTCAGCTACAACAACATGATGGAGAAAATTAAGAGTTATGTGAATTATGTGATAAATGAAAAATCATCAGCCTTTCTTATGAAGGTATGCATATTTCAGAGAGACTCTAACAACAATTAGAAATTGTTATAATAAAGGAGAATACTTGAAATAGAAATCCTTAAAAACTAATCAGAATTTTATTTAGTGATTTTGTAGAAGAGCAAAATGGTAAAATTAGTGAATCTAAAGGGTTTATTGGTGATTTTTGCAGTATTTTTAAACTTTTTTGAAATAAGAGTTGGGGAAATTTTTCAAAATAAAATGTTGAGGGGAGAACAGATCAAAGAAATTTTTAGCATGTTTTTGGAAAACAAAATTGGACTAAAGAAGGGCCTTTAAAAAGTTTTGTTTTTTTTTTTTTTAATAACATTTTATTCCTCAGTCTTGGCCTCAGAAAGTTTTAACTTATGTTATAGTGGAGCACTGATTAATTTAAGGGAGTATAAATACCTGGAATTTTTATTTTTTTTAATTTTTCAAAGAGTTTGTTTAGAGAGGCAGGGAGAGAGAGAATCCCAAGCAGACTCTGTGCTGACCTTGGAGCCTGATGCAGGTCTTATCCCATGACCCTGAGATCATGACCTGAGCTGAAATCAAGAGGCAGGTGCTTAACAGACCGAGCCACCCAGTTGCCCCATCTGGAACTTTTATTGATTTTTCTTTCTTTCTTTCTTTTTTTTTTTTTAAATAATCTTTTATCTAAAAATTGCCTAGTAAACACCATATGTATCAAATACACATACAAGGAAAGATCTTCTCCATGAGGCTTAGAAACCAAGCAGGTAACTAAAGCTGCTGCTGTTGATGTCGTAGTTACTGGAGCGAACACAACACAATCCCTTTATCGACCTGTGAACAGATATATTGGTTACGGCTATCAAAGAATTAGAAGGCTTAATTTTAATGCTGTTTGTTCAGAATGGCTTAATGGGTTCCTTTCTCTTCTACAACCCGTGTTTTAAGGCCGCAGCAAAAGTAGTGGAGAGTAAAAGGACAAGAACAACTCAAGATAAAGCAAGTGCTAACGGTATTGAAGTGGAAACCGAAGCTAGTTTGGATATAGGAGAAAGGTTTGTAAATTCATTTATACATGTTTTGTCTCATGGATACATCTTTATGTGGAAGTGTTGCTAGTGAGCCATTTTTAACAAAAAACAATTATTATAGAGGGTATGTTTTACTGATACTAACATTTGGATATTTGGAGCACTGTACAGTTACTTCCTGCTGGATGAGGTAGAGTTTATTGGCATGGCTTACAGAGCCGTGCGTAGCCCCTTTCTGTTGTTGTTTTTTTTTCCATATACAACCTTATCCCTAAGCATTAACCTCTCCCTGCCCACATACATGGTACTTTCTAGCAACACAGAACTTCGTCCTGATCCTCAAATATTACGAGCTCTTTCATGCCTGTCTTTTTGAACTCCCTTCAGGGTCTAGCTCAAAGATCACCTATGTTTTATTGAGCGCTCTGATCAGTTGTCACTTCTGTGCTCCCACAGCATTGAGTCGCATCTCTTAAAAGGACTTCTCTTGGATGGTAACATACCTGTTTACCTTTCTGTATTTCTGACTAGACTTGAGAATCCTTTAGAGTTTCTTAATTAGCTGTGTGTCCTTGGTACTTAGTTCATTACCAGGCATACATTAGAATTTGCAATGCACTAGACACAGGGAATAAAACTAAAACTAGAGAAAAAATGAAGATCAAGAACCAAGCAAATATCAAGACCATCCTGGAGGCAAATAGAATCAGGACAAGTAAAGCATCAGATTCGCCAGTTTCAGGACAAAAATCAGCAGGACACAAGTGAACAAGGATAGAGGTGTGATTGTGAAATCAGACAAATAATAGGAAAGATGAAACCTTCATGTTATCAATGGTAGATGAAATAAAAACTTTGCTCTGCTAGAGCTTATAAACTATTTTGAGGCAGTAATTATAGGCAGGAAACAGGTACAGCAGCAGACATTATATAATTTGTTGTTAAAAATGTATAGACTTAAATGCTGAAGAAGTTGAGATGGAAGCTTCAAGGAGGGGTGAGCATTGTGCAGGCCCTTGAAGGATAGTTACGATTTTTTCAGTTGGATGGAAGAGGAAATGTCATTTTAGGATAGAAGAATAGTTCCAGTGAAGGCACAAAGGCGTAAATGGTTATACCGTGTTTTTGGAAGCTGAGTTTAACTTCAGCAAAGTGGGGGGGGGGGAATTTGTTAAAAAGTTCAGTTGGAAACTGGTAGGGAGGGCAAGAAATTAAACTTGAATCCATGGAAATAAAGATCCATGGAGAGTTTTTGAAAGAGTGATGTGAATACTTGATTACAACATTAACTGTGCTTAACTTACGTTTGTGAAAGCTTGCTTCAATGTCTAGTAAGTACATCTGTGCAAAAATTATCCATGTTGTAATGGAGACTGTTTGTGTCCTAATGTTACCAGAGTTTCTTTCCAAAGATATTTTGTATAAATTGCAATATGACTTGATTATGTAGTAAGTACTAACCTTGCGAAGTTTCTTTTGTTTACATTCTTAACATATTTTTTCTTTTTTTTAAAGTGTTAGTGACAAACGGTCTGCAACTGAATTCTCAGGGGGTACAGTATCCTTACCAAGGTGAAGTAAATGGACATTTTTCTTCTCTGTCTTTAAAATCTTTGATTGAGGGCGCCTGGGTGGCTCAGTTTGTTGAGCAACTGCCTTCGGCTCAGGTCATGATCCTGGAGTCCCGGGATCGAGTCCCGCGTCGGGCTTCCTGCTCAGCGGGGAGTCTGCTTCTCCCTCTGACCCTCTTCCCTCTCGTGCTCTCTCTCTCTCATTCTCTCTCTCAAATAAATAAGTAAAATCTTTAAAAAAATAAATAAAATAAAATCTTTGAAGCACTTCATGCAGATCTAGATATTTTATAATAACTGTCATATAAATGGTGTGATTTTGAGAATATCATAGGTGCCTGCTTATCTCAACAGGTATTCAAGACCTTGACGTGTCTTGAAATTCCAAACTATAGAGACCTGCCTCTGGGATCCTGGGTTGTTACACCTTGTTCCCACAAGGCCATTATTGGCATACACATGTAGGGAGGCTTGAACTTAGAGCAGATGTTTAATAAACTCTTATTCTGTCCTAGAAATAAGGATATGTTGCCGGGGGGGTGGGGGGCAGTTCTATTTCTGATTGAACATCCCAAATTCTAATTTTATGAAATTACTTGAAAAACTGTGTTTAATCTACTAGAAATTTTGTGACAGACAATATAACATGTTCAGAGAGCAGCAAGTCTGCATGAATGATTTCAGAGAGCAGTTAGGATGCTGAATAGCAACCAGAGTGGGAGGTGTTGATTTAGTGTGGGGGCAGAGGTCAGTGGAAATGAGGAATTGAGAGGTCACGATCGTGTCTGGTTACCCACGAGAACACAGAAGTAACATGGTAGAGCCGTCACTTGGGGGTAGGGGAAAATCTGTGAATGGTGGGAAGTGCTTGCAAGGCTAATGAATGATTCTAAAGTATGGTGGTTGGTGATGTACATCAGTAGGACGAATCCTCAAGGGCTAACGCTTCTTATGGAAGCAGTATCCTGAAAGTGGCATTTGTTAGGAAATGGAAAGTATAGAGACCCACCTCTGGGACCCTGGGTTCGTAGAAGGTAGAAGATGAAACCTGTCTACTTGAGCAGGCCACAAAGAAATATTCTCCCTAAGGGAGATTGTAGACAAAGCGAAGATGTAGGGGGACTGGTGAAGGGGTTGAGAATGGCATTCCAGAGAGCACAGTAGGTTTTGGGAGGGAGGGAATGGATTAGCAGGTGTCTTGTGTACTTAGGTAAAAATACAGATTTTAGGTGGTGATAAAATCGTTTCCTAAGCTTAGGTGAACTATTTTTTCATCTAAACTAGCTCCTTTATAAAATGGGGATAATACCAACTTTGCAGGGTTGTCAAAATTTTGCCACACTCTGTGTTTCCAAACAGCCTTCATTTCAAAAACACTCCCTTTGGAAGCTGTAAAGATAAGTGATATCTACCATTATGTGTAAAGGAATTTTGGAATTTCTCTTTTGGGAAATAAACTTAAAAGCCCTAGGAGAGAATGAAAGTCAATAGTTGATCGTCTGAGGATTTTTTTTTTTCTTCACCTATCTAATTAAAAGGCCAAAAGAATCTTGGTTTCTTAGTAGATGAGATGGAGGAAATAAGTGATGGGAGGAGAGGAAAGTCAGACAACAAAAATCTTAAGAGGCCAAAGGTTAAGATGGGGCACTCAGCAAGGAGAGCACCAAAGGAAACAGGCCAGAGTAGAAGAAGGTCCTAAAACAGAGATTAAGACAAATCATCTACCTTCTTTCATAGCTTTTCTACTCTTTGCAGAACCAATCCCATGCTTTTATGTTCAATTTAGGTCTCACAAGAAGTTCTTTGTATCCAAGTCAAAACATAGATGCCAACAACAGGATTTTAATAGGCAAGAAGAAAGAATGGAAACTCTTCAAAGTGAGTACTCTTACTACAATTTTAGAAGTGGAGAATTGATTTGTCCTTGAAAGTGATCCAGCCCTTGACCTCCCCACGACAACACCCAGACACACTTCAGAAAACTAAAGCACAATGGATTAAATGCCGTATCTTCATAGAGTTAGAAAGTTAGTGCTTAATTTAGAAAGCTATTCTGATTGCCTAGCTTAGAGTATTTTTGCTATGATAGTACACTGATTTTCTACCTTAACTTTATTCAGCGACTTGAAATAGTTACTTAATCTGAGACATACCGTTGTTATCATGATAGTTATGTTCTGTAAAGTCACTGTGGTTGGTGACTACTAAACCATTACTGGGGAATTACAGGGTTAGATTCCTTTGAGAATCTTGTCACCACAGTTTTGTCAACTGATAAATACATAACCTTGTTCAGTGTGTTTATGTGTTTTTGTTTAAAGATACTAATATATAATGTTGATGCATTAACCTTGACCTTGTGGCCAAGTAGCACTGTAAGTCATGCCTGGATGAAGCTTTCTCACACAGATTTTTTCTGTCGGGAACATCCTAGTCGTGCACTTAGGAACACTAGACAACACTTCCACGGTACATCTGGGGCCATTTTAAACGGCTAAATTACCCCAAAACACAAAATGTTGCATTAAATAGACTCTAAAAAAGACAATTATTTATGACAGAGCTAAAACACAAAAGCATCACCTTGCTTAACCTTAGCTGTGAACACACACATCAGGTGAGATGAATTTTTTTTGCTCTGTATGTGTCCACCAGTGACCATTAAAGCACTTTGTATTGATTTTTGAGTTACAAATTATTAGGGAAGTAAATTCACAAATACAGAATCCATGAATAATGAGGATTGACTGTGGAATCTAGCTACCTTATTATATTTAGAATTTATTCTTATAAAAGGTGTCGCTGGATTTAAAAAACAAGCAACAATAACCAAAAAAAAAAAAAAATCTTAAAAGTAGTCCATAGCGGCGCCTGGGTGGCTCCAGTGGTTGGGCATCTGCCTTCGGCTCAGGTCATGATTCCAGGGTCCTGGGATCAAGCCCCAAGTTGGGCTCTGAGCTCAGTGGGAAGTCTGCTTATTTCTCCCTCTCCCTCTGCCACTTTCTCTCCTGCTTCTGCTCTGTCTCTCTCTCTCAAATGAATATGTAAAAAATCTTTAAAAAAAAAAAATAGTCCAAAATTGTTTTAAATTACAATTTGATTGTAAGCTTCTCCTTGGTATGTATTCATTCAGCAAATGTTCATTGAACCTACACTACATTCTAGGTACTGAATGAAGGAATGAATGAATGAATGAATGAAAGCAAGGATTTTTAAACTTTATTGCTCCATACCTAGCAGCTTGCGGTCAATATAAAAATAATAGATGTACCACCTTAATGCCAGGGACATAGTAGGGCTGCAGTAAGTATTAATTGAATAAATTTATTCATAACTGATGGCTGATGACAGGGCCAGTATTAACTAATATTTGTAAATTATAGCTCTAAAACATTTACATCCATAGATATTATCATCCTCATTTTAAAGATAGTGAAGTTAAGCTCAAAGAAATAATTGCTTCATGTTGTTATTCCAGAATTGTTCTGTGTCTATTGCTGCAAAATGGCTAGTAATCATAATTATAAAATAAAATAATTTGGGGATTCTGGACTTTTAATTTCATAATACAAAATTCAAAGAAGTGGAAGCATATATTTTTTTTAGATTCTAAATAGTTGATTACTGGTTAAACTCTGAGAACTGTAACCTCATTGCAGATTGGTTTGACAGTGACTGTGGATATTGAGCCTAGAAGATCTTGTGAGTTTTAGTACATTTTTTGACTTTTCGTTACATGTTAGTAGTATATACATACATATATATTTTTTCTCTTCCAGTTTGCTTAAAAGGCATGCAGTGTCCTCTCTTCATAGTTAGAGAATATTAGTTTTGTATGCTAAACAGTTTTTTTCAGATTTGTAAAATTCCATGTACTTTTAAGAAAATCAAGTGATTCAGAAAACTTGAAAGAAAGAAAATCACCTAAATTCTTTCTGTGCAGAAAAAAACTTACCACCATTCAGTGAAATGATGTGTAAACTCATTTAATCCTCAACAATCTTACGAGTGCTTTTTTTTTTTAATCATCCCCATTTTATACATGGGAAGCCACTACAAAAAGAGATTAAGTAAAATATACTTCATCACAGAAATAGTGAACAGAACTAGAATTTGAAATTAACCTTCTTGGGGCACTTGGGTGGCTCAGTCAGTTAAGCATCTGCCTTCGGCTCAGGTCATGATCCCAGGATCCTGGGATTGAGCCCTGAGTCTGGCTCCCTGCTTAGTGGGGAGCCTGTTTCTCCCTGTCTGCTGTTCCCCCTGCTTGTGCACTCTCTCTCTCACTCTCAAATAAATAAAATCTATAAAAAAAAATAAAATAAAATAAAATTAGACCTTCTTTTTTAAGTAAGCTCTATGCCCAACTTGGGGCTTGAACTCACAACTCTGAGATCAAGAGGTTCATGCTCTGCCAAATGAGCCAGCCAGGCAAAATTAGACATTCTGACTGTGACTGCAGAACCCACGCTTCTAATTGCTGGGCTAGACTATGTCAGTGGAAAAATAGTCAAATAAAAATTTGGGAAAATGTGATTAGATTACATGTTACTTTAAAACACATTTCCATTTTGAACTTCATGTAAATGCTGTTTCATAAGAAGTATATCAGTAACCTATATGATTCCTCCAAAATGAAAGATATAGAATATGAAATACTTCCAAGAGGTTGGATCAGGTTGCCTCTGTAATCATAAATTTAAATTTTAGACTGTTGACTGATTTTATCTAAAAAGGGTGATATTAGCAAAAAAAAAAAAAAAAAACAAACCCAACCTCTCCCACCAATTCCCAATTTTTCTTAGTTTTATTTTATATGATAAAAGGTTTGTAGAATTTTCTTTTCTAGCCGTAAATCCCGAAGTAGTTTAATCTGTTTAAATTGATTTATTGCTGGTTACCAACCCTTTGACCATCATGTCCCCATTCCTTACCACTTGTTTGCTAGGTTTTTTTTAAAAGATGGGATTATAGGTACTATAATTTCTAAATTTAGGTCTGTTCTTTTTTCTTTTTGGGGTGAGAAAGGGAATTTACTGCCTCATACTCATAAGTTCAGAGATACATTAGCTACAAGTGTGGCTGGATCCAGCTACTCAAGCATTTTCATCAGACCTGCTTCCTCTATGTCTCTCAGCTCTACTTTCCTCTGTGATGGCTTCCCTTCCAGGCAGACTCTATTCAAGTGGCAACCTCTGACAGATAGATGCTCCTATCATCACTGAAGTGGAAGATGTTCTTTTCTTTTCTTTCTTTAAGTATAGTTGACACACAGTGTTGCGTTAGTTTCACGTGTACAGAATAGTAATTGGACAACTCTATATATTATGCTATGTTTACCCCAAGGGTAGCTACCATCTGTCCCCATACAACATTGTTACAATACCGTTGACATAGGGAACTATGCTGTACCTTGAGTGTGTACTGTTTTTTGCTTAAAGGGAAATTTGGCTAAATATAATATTCTTCGGAGAAGAATATTGGAGATGAATATTGTGGAGACTCAAGTCTGTTGTCAGCCTTTCTCCCCCCTTTGCATATGAGTTACCTTTTACTCATAGATTCCCAGATCTTTTTTAATATGTGCATTTAATGCTATAAACTCTTTAATTACTGCCTTAGTTTCATCCCACAGATTTTGAGATGTTGTTTTTTCATTTAGTTCAAACTATTTTTTCATTTCCCTTAAGACTTTTTCTTTGACTTCTGGGCTATAGAAGCTGTTTGCTAATTTCCAAATATTTAAGGGTATTCCAGATATCTTTCTATTATTGCTTTCCAGTTTAATTCTGTTTGGGACTGAGAATATACTTTGTAGGATGTCTTTTTTTAGGATTCTTTTTTTAACTTAAGATTTGCTTTATAGTACATGATATGGTCTATCTTGGTGAGTGTAGATATGCACTTGAGAAGAATGTGAATTCTGTTATAAAATATCAGGTCAAGTTGATTCATAGTGCTGTTCAGATTTTGTATATGCTTGCTTATTTTTGCCTATTCATTCCAACAATTAGAGACAATATTGAAACCTCCAACTGTAATTATGAATTTCTCTGTTAATTATTAGTCTCTGCTAATTTGTTAATTTCCTTTTTTGCTTTTTTAGTCCTCTAGCACCTGTTTAAACAATTTGCAATATGAAAATCTCTGTTCATAACTATTGTGGTTTCCATTTTCCTGACTGGAGCCTCACCAGCACGTATAGTCCGTTCCTGCAACGATGCCATATTATCTCAATTACTGTAGTTTCATAATAACTCAGTATGTGACAGGGACATTCCCTTCATCTTACTGTTCTTCAGGAATATCTTGACTATTCTTGACTGTTTTGGTCTTCCATGCTGTCAGGGAAAAAACCCAACTTCATAGAGGATTGCAAGCAATAAACCTGCTACCTCTCATAGGTGCCCAAAGAAGGCAATATGACTTAATGAGTCAGAGCAAAACAGTTACAGCACAACAAATAGCATGGCATCAGCATAATTGTGCTGGTGTCTATTCCAAGTCCCATAGGCAGTGCAATGGCCCCAGATAGATGTTGTGCAGGCAGATAGGTTGTATTGTAACTGAGAAACTTGGTGCCAAGGGCCTACCTCTTTTTGAGTAAGCAGCAAAACAGGATAGCAAACCAGCCAGTCCCCTCCCAGGAGAGGGTAGTTACATGGTGGTCAGGCTATGGTTCCTTTGATCTACTTAGGTGCCTATATGACTACAAAACTGTTTAGTATCAGGAAACAAGCCTTGTACATTCAGCAAAAACTGCAGGGATGCTCGGGGCCAGTGGTGGACTACTTCTCATAACACATATAATTTTAGAATAATGTTAAGTCCTACAAAAAGCCCTGTTGAAATTTTCATTTGAAATTGCATTGTAACAGTAGAAGCTTTTGGAAAGAATGGACACAGTTACTACATATTAGTATTAATTACAGACTTTATATTAATTATGTTAAGTCTTCCTATGCACGAACCAAAGTATATTACTCTATATTTTTATTTATTTATTTTTAAAGATTTTATTTATTTATTTGACAGAGAGAGACACAGTGAGAGAGGGAAAACAAGCAGGGGGAGTGGGAGAGGGAGAAGCAGGCTTCCCACTGAGCAGGGAGTCCGATGCAGGACTCGATCCCAGGACCCTGGGATCATGACCTGAGCTGAAGGCAGACGCTTAACAACTCAGCCACCCAGGTGCCCTATATTACTCTATTTAGATTGTCATATATATTTTCTTATAATGTATAGTACATATATACACACATATATAGTAAAACTTATATAATTTACTACATATAGAGCTTGACCACTGCTAGATTTATTCCTAAGAATATTCTATTTTTTGTTAGTATTGTAAATATTATCTTTTGATTGTTTTAAATATTTTAAGTATTGCTAATGAACAAATACTATTGAGCTTTGTTTATTGATCTTCTATCCAACCATCTAAACTCTTTAATTCTATTTGTAGATTCTTTAAGGTTTTTTATATAAACAATTTTTTTCAGTAGTTAACAGTTCTCTTTTCAGTTACATATACATCTTGTCTTACTAAACTGACTATGAATAAGAAAGAAGGAATGAGGGAAGGGCTATAGTTCTTACACTAGGTAATATATTCCTTAAACATTAACTTAAGAAAATTTTAGCAATCCTATAAGATAAATATTTTTCCTTTTTTTAACAGATGATGAAAAAGGACAGGTTCTGGGAGGTGAGATAACTTATTTAAAGACGTAAACGAATCAACATTCAGTAACCCCCTATGATTTTCAGAAACTGATCTTTGCATTGTTCTATGCTGCTTCCAGATTCAAAGAGGAAAAAATAGTTCTTTTTATTTGAAATAGCTAAATAATAGATAGGGATTTAATGGTAACCTTTAAAAATATCCCCTTTTTTATTTTAACGTGAAGCAATTTTTGATGATTATTTCTACTTTTAGGTGAAAGAATGAAAAGACTCAGGAGACAAGCTGCTGAAAAAGAGAGAAGACATGTTTCGAAGAGTCAGCCAGTAACTTCTAAAACACATCGATCTAGGAAAAAACAGGTATTTATTATATTTAAATAAGACTTAATGGACATTAATTGTGATTATTTCACATTATTTCTGCTCAACCCTAAAAGATCTTGAATGTAAAATGTTTCGACTTCACTATCTTTGATTTTGCCAACAGGCCAATCCACCTGTTCTAAGTTCCAAAAGAAATATTTCACCTGTATTTTTAAAATAGCCTTAAGTTGGGTACTGATAATGACATTTATTTAGAATTATTGTGATACTATCATAAGGTCTATTTATCAATGTAAAGTGGGACTTAAATCCACATTATAAGCTTTTATATTCATATTTTCCTAATAGGGATCCAATTTAAATAAGGTCCTTCTGTGCTTTAAAAAAAGAAGAAACCATTTGATAGGGAATTTTTCTATATAGAAAGTTAAGATGGGTCAGTTTTAGGACTCACTTCATTTCTGCACTCAGTGATTATAGTCCTATGGCATCTGTCCAGTGTCTCAAACCATTGTTTCCTGTATTTTATCTGGTTTTCTAGTTGCTTATAACAAGTAAATAAATCTAGTCCTTTTCTATCACAGCTAGAAGTTGAAGGTGGCCGTGTACTCTTTTCTTATTCTCCTTTAAGATGAGTTTTGTTGTTGTTGTTGTTTTTTCTCAAAAAGCTACTTGTAAATGGTTCATGTTGAGACACTGAGGCTAGGGTCAAATTCCAGGCTACTAGGAATATCTCTTGTGTCTCAAGTGAACATAGCAAGCAATTCCTACTTCTGATTTGCTTCCTGTAAATATTGCTTATCCATGTGATTCCTTATTTAGTACCACCAACCACCTTTATTATTTAGAGCAACTGCAGGTTGAGGGAGGCTCCTGCTATTGGCAGGGTGTGCACCTCAGGCTATGTTTTCTTTACTCTGGAAAATTGCACATCACAGGCTTTCTGAGATCCATAGGCAGAGTGGCTCTGCCCTGCTTCTTTGCATATCTTTTGTCAATTTCCATCAATAGTGTACCCCTTCTACCTATATTATGATTCAGGTCATAGGGTTCTTCAAACTTTTTTAAGAGTTCAGGATTTTATTTCTTTCCTTGATGCTGTTGGGTGAATTCCCAAAGGAGAATGGGGAAATGCCAACCATATGACACTATATGCAGCCAAAAGTCATACGTATTTTTTGTCTTTGAATTTTTGCATTTTGAGTATGATGTACAAAAGTGTAGATATTTTGGCATTTGTCCTACTTTGTGTTCATGAAGTCTCTTGTGTCTGTTTTGGTGTCTGTCATTAATTTTGGAAAATTCTCAGCCATTATGACTTCAATTCTTTCTTCTATTCCTTCTCCTTCTGATGTCCCATTATCTATAGGTCACCTCTTTCGTAATTTTCCCACAGTACTTAGCTGTTTCTCTCTCTCTCTCTTTTTTTTTTCCCATTCTTTTTATCTCATTGCTTTTCAGTTTGGGAAGTTTCTATTTTTAGTTTCAAGCTCACTGATTCTTCATCCATATTTAGTCTGCTAATGTGCCCATCAAAGGCATTCTACATTTCCATTACTATGTGTTGATTTCTAGCATTTCCTTTTGACTCTTCAGGTTTACATTTCTCTGCTTACATTTACTTACCTGTTTTTACATGTTGTCTACTTCTTCTATTAGAGCCCTTGACATTAATCATAGTTATTTAAATTCCCACTTTGATAATTCCAAAATCTCTGTCATAGCCAAGCCTGATGCTGCTTTGTCCCTTCACATTGTGGTTTTTTTGCCTTTTAGTGTACTTTACCAATTTTATGCTGATAGCTGAACATGATGTATCAGGTAAAAGAACAGAGGTAAACTGACCTTTGGTGTAGGATTTTATGTTTGTCTAGCCAGGATTTAGGCTTTATTTCCTATTTGCTGTAGCCATAGATGTCAGAGGCTAAAATTTCCTTGTTTTTGTCTCTTGCTGTCTTTGGTTTTCCCTAAACTCCTTAGTAAGGGTCTGAGGCAGCTCTCAGCTAAGACAATTGATTTATAGGAGCCCAAATAATACAGTAAGATGAAGGAGAGAAGTATTCTCTAGTTTTGTGTGATTTTCAGTGAGTTTGTGTCCTGGACTAAGACCTTCATATGTGCTTCTCAGCTTTTATTTCCCCCTCTTCAGTGAGAAGGGAAGGCTAGAAGGGGCTGAAGTTGGGTATTTCCCTCCTGACATGGAAGGCTAGAGGGGGCTGAAGTTAGGTGGAAATGAGTTGGAGTTGTGGGCCCCACTAAGATTGAGCACCTGGAGTTTCTTAACTCAGGCTTGCCCATAGTAAGCCTCCATCAGTTCATCCAACATAGTTAAGTGTTTCTATCAGTACTGGCTCCAGGTATGAGTTTCTGTTCCTGGTAAGCTGTGATTCTCTGTATCTGCCTTTCTGTTTTTCTAGTTTTTATGGCAGCAGTTTGCCTGTTGACGTTAGTTCTCTGATGGATCTACAAAGAGTTGTTGACTTTCAGTTGGTTTTGTTTTGTTCTTGTTGTGAGGACTGGAGTGATATTTCCAAGCTTTTTGTATGTCTGTCCCAAAACTAGAAGTCTCTGCCTCATATTTTAAGTGATCTTTCCCTGTAGTTCTTCTGGCAACAATTCTGAATGGTATTGTAGGTGTTACTTATAGATGTATATAAAAAAAAAGTTACTCTGGTTTTTTGCTTTTTTGTTTTTTGTTTTTTTGTATTCGAAACAAAATGTGGGTAATCAACTATGTAATTTAAAGAACAGAATATAGATGATATTGTCTATCATTGTTTACTATGCCAAAAAAGAATTCTGTGGCTATCACAAGTGTCTCATTTTATTTTTCACTTTCCCTTGTTGGCTTTTTGAGTGGGACTTTTTTCAGATGAGTGACAGATTTTATCTTATTTCGTGTTAACATTTTGGTTCTTTAAAAAATTTTTATTGCAGTAGTCTGTACCAGATTGGACAGTTTCTCCTTGTTGTATTTTGTCTGTTAAACAGACAAAGGTATTTCTGCCAGCCTCATCCCAGTTTACAAAGAGACCTCCTTTTGTAAATTTATTCTATTAAAGAAGGAAAGTAAATGTCTTTCAACAACAAAGACTTTTCCCCAGAGATATAGTGGAAATTACTATAACTTTTTTTTACTATAAATAGTATCATTTTAAGACATAGACCATTTTTTTTCCTCTGAAAGGCATTAAAAATGATAGACAATTTTCAAATACAAGTTATATAAAAACTTTTTAGCCTTAGGAAAGAAAAGGATTGGTATGTTTTAATTTGTTATGTGCTCTTTGTATCTTTTTGGGTTGTGGGCTTGACCAGGGTTGTTAGGATTTTTTTATTGATTCTGTTTTTAATTTTTCATGGAAAGGAAAAGACAGAAAAGCACAAAGAACACAGATTCTTTTTTTATGTCCTAAACTAGATCATCTTAAACTCTTTGTTAACTGTGTGACATTATGAATGGTATATAGAACAGTAAGGCAAGGATATAAAATGAAGAAATGAAAAAGAGTAAGCAAAAGAGTACACTCATGAAATTGTACTACCCTTATATTTTCTTTCTGTTCTAACACTGAATATTGTTAGCTTGTTGTTGTTAGCTTCTGGGCAGTGCAAACAGGCTGAGGGTGGATTTTGGCAGTAGCTTGCTACCTCTGCTGTATGGGATCCACTGGAAAACACTGCTTAAACTTGTACCCAGGAACCTAAATAGGATTCAGGCAGAGAATATTACTTATTTCTTGAGATAAATGAGCTTTTGTATTGTATCAGACATCATCTGTGCACTCTGTTAAAAGTAATTAATTCATATTTGAACAAGAAAACTGTGTTGTATATATGAAATTTACATAAACCAAGGACTACTTTTTAAAATTGAACAAAACTATAGCAACTTAACAGAAATTCTTGGCGACTGTAAAAACAATATTTTAGGGTTAGTCTGAGTGGCCCCTGAAATGTTATTTAAAATTTTGTATATCTTTGCTTGTCTGTGAGATGGATCCATAGCTTTTATCACATTCTCAAAGATCTATATGACCCCAAAGATTAATAACCCACTGCTGAAGTACTTTTTTTTTTTTAAAGATTTCATTTATTTATTTGAGAGAGAGAATGAGAGAGAGAGCACATAAGAGGGGGGAGGGTCAGAGGGAGAAGCAGACTCCCTGCTGAGCAGGGAGCCTGATGCAGGACTGGATCCTGGGACTCCAGGATCATGACCTGAGCCGAAGGCAGGCGCTTAACCAACTGAGCCACCCAGGCGCCCACCCACTGCTGAAGTACTTTTAATTGGTAAGTCCATCTCTCTCTTTTTTAAACTCCTCACCCACACACGGAAAATTTACATCTCTTTTGGTTTTGCATCAGTGACAAGCAGTGAATTGAAGCTTGTAGGGGTGATGACTGATAAGAGAAGTGGGCTGGGTTGGTCATGGTAGACTACCACAGGAGGATGTCCTCTTTGTCTTTGTCTAGAGATCAATTAGCCATGCGTACCACGCACTCATAGACAGCATGGTTGCCAAGATGTGGCACCTCAGACAAACTTATACAAGGGGCTTAATTATGGTCACTGCCAGTTTTATGGCATTGAGCCATACATAAGAGTTTTCATCTCAGGTTTGTCTTCTTGAAGCCACCTTGAGTTCTTTTTAATAGTGCATCAGACAGCTGAGTTGGAATTTTTTAAATTGTAGTGAAATACACATAATTAAATTTACCATCTTAACTGTATTAAAGTGTATATAGTTCAGTGGCAATAAACACATTCATATTGTTGTGCTACCATTACCACTGTCCATCCACAGAACTCTTTTCAGCTTGCAAAACAAAAACTATTTATCCATTAAACACGGACTCCCCATTTGCCCCTCTCCCATACCTCTAAAGTAGAAAGTAGAACCACCATTCTACTTTCTATCTCCGAGTTTGACTGTTTTAGGTACCTCTCATACAAGTGGAATCCTACAATATATGTCCTTTTGTGTTTGACTTATTTCACTTAGCATAATGTCCTCAAGTTTCATCCATGTTATAGTATGTGTCAGAATTTCCTTACTTTTTAAGGCTAAATAAAATCTCACTGTATTTATATACCACCTTTTGTTTATCCATCCATCCATCAGTGGATAACTTGGGTTACTTCCATCTTTTGCCTGCTAACACTGTTACCAACATGGGTGTACAGATTTCTCTTCAAGTCCCCGCTTTCCGTTCTTTTGGATATATACCACAAGTAGAATTACTGGATCACGTGGTAATTTTATTTAATTTTTTTGAGGAACCACCATTCTGTTTTCCACAGCGGTCACAGTTTTTCATTCCTTCCCACAGTGCATAAGAATTCCAATTTCCCCACATCCTCACCCACACTTAGTATTTTCTGTGGTATTTTATTTTTGGTTTTGTTTTGTTTTGTTTGATGATAGATGTGCTAATGGGTGTGAGGTGATATTTTGTGGTTTTGATTTGCATTTCCCTAATGATTAGTGATGTTGAGCATCTTTTCATGTACTTATTGGCCATTTGTGTATCTTTGGACAAATGTCTATCAAGTCCTTGCTCATTTTTTTTAAGTTTTTTATATCTTTGTAGTAAAACATACATAACAAAATTGATCATCTTAATCATTTTTAAGTGTATGGTTCAGTGGCATTAAGTGCATTCACATTGTTTATGCAACCAATCTCTACAACTTTTTCATATTGCAAAACTAAAACTGTGTACCCATTAAACAATTTCCCATTCTCCCTTCTTCCCATCCCCTGGCAGCCACTATTTTACTTTGTTTCTGTGAGTTTGACTATTCTAGATACCTCATGTAAGCGAAATCATACATTATTTATCTTTTCATGACTTGATGATAAATGGATTTTTAAAGAAAATAGGAAATTCAGCTGGGGAAAGTAATCATAGTCTAGACACAGTAAATAATCACTCAGTCATTTGCTCCTTCAGCATGTCAGCAAAAGGGATAGGTTAGTTGGTCACCTGTAGCAAATGCCAACTATAAGTTTTTTTCTGTGTATGGTGCTAATTTGATTTTTAAAAATTTTCAGCTGTTTTCTCCAAAATAAAATAATATGTTTTGAATTAGTCTTTTTTAGTTGTGTTTTCAAGAATTTGTTTTAGGGAAGATTTGAGGTTTATGGCTGTGTATACTTCGCCTAACATAGAACTGGGTTTTCACTGAGTTCATTAATGAAGTATTAAATATTCATAAGTTCTATTTAGAGATACGTGGGATTAAGAAGTACCAATCTGGGGGCGCCTGGGTGGCTCAGTTGGTTGAGTGTCTGACTTGGTTTTGGCTCAGGTCATGACCTCAGAGTTGTGGGATCGAGCCCCGGGTTGGGCTCCCTGCTCAGCGGGGAGTCTGCTTCTCTCCCTCTGCCCCCTCCTCCGGACCATGCACTCTCTCTCTCTCTCTCTCTCTTCAAAATAAATAAATCTTTTTTTAAAGGGGGGGAATACCAATTTGATAACAACTGTAGAAAAAGCATTGTAAGAGACAGTGTAGGCTTTAAGTCTGATGAATTGGGTTGGGTTAGCTCTCACTTTGCAGCTGTCTGGTCTGGGGCAGCTGAGCCATCTGTGCTTATGTAAAATGAACAAGAATAGTAAGGACCCTGAGAAATCTTGTAAACATAAGCTCTTAGAGAAATCTAAGAAATGTATATGTAAATTCTTCGATCCCTACGAAACTAATACTATTTTGATTAAAAACAATTGGATTTATAATATGTTCTTTAAAGAATTGTTTCTGTGAATAACTGTTCTGCATTTTATCAAAAGGCTTGGCTTTGGGAAGAAGACAAGAATCTGAGATCCGGTGTGAGGAAATACGGAGAGGGAAACTGGTCTAAAATACTGTTACATTATAAATTCAACAACCGAACAGGTGTCATGTTGAAAGACAGATGGAGGACTATGAAGAAGCTAAAACTGATTTGCTCAGACAGTGAAGACTGAATGTGTTTGTAAAAGCTTGACAGAAGGACAGTTAAATACTTTGATCACTGCATTTTGTTTGAAACTTGGTGGTCATTGATGTATCTTAAAATTTTTGTCTAAAGCATTACAGTGTCATTATAGTATCACTTTAATTAATATGAAGATTTATGCTATAAGAGTAAGATTATATGCCATCATTGCATTCTTTAAGAATCTTTTTCCTCTGATAAATGTAAACTTGTTGAACCCTGCTGCTTTCAATAACCCTATCCCCAAATCCTATTCCAATAAAAAAAAAAAATTGAAAACCTGGTAAGAGAAAAAATATTCCTATTAACCTATGCTGTGTCTGTAAGCTCACTTGACCTTTGTAACACACATAAAAATGAAGTTTTTTTAAGACTTGATTTATGGCCTTAATATATTAGTTACTAATACATTTGTATATAGAATGATACATGTACAAAGTAATCCATGAGTTGTAACATTCTTAAATTTTCCTTTCAGTTGTTTTATATAGAGGAGAAAACTTAAAAATAGTAATACCCATAGGAGGACAAAGTTTGTACTATTACCAAGAATAGCTTCATGTCTCATTTAGGTACATTTAACTTTGTTCCAGTGTTAAAACTTTGACAAAGATGGTTTTAAATCTGCCTTTAACCTGGTGCCATAAATACCAGTTTCTTTGATTTTTTTTTTTCTCTATATTTTCATTTAATACATCGATATTGGGCCTAAGTGGTATTCTGTAAATGCTTAAATTAGTGTTACCCATGGTAATTTTGATGTCTATGATAATTGCTAAATAAATAAGGTCATCCATATCTTACTGAACAATTTTGAGTTTTCACCAGCATTTTATTCTTTAGAGAATTTAGTCATAAACTAAGAATTACTTAGCATTTTGAGTTACTTGTGCTTTATGCAATGAGTGGAAATACTGAAGTATTGGTGTACAGAGTTAAATGGTAGTATTTTAATAATTTATATTTCATTTTGTATTAAAGTCGCATACATTACTTTCCCATTGTTCCTGAAGTTATGTCTTTATACATATAGTAAACAGAAATATGGATAATTACTGTATGCTTCCTGACTCCATCTATCCTATTACACCACTAGTCACTGTCACTGTTTATTACAGACATGTTGATGGTTAGTGCCAAAGCTAGTGACATGAACCAAAATGGACCTGTAAGTAAACCTCATTCCAAACATACCATAAATCATCAAATCCTGAGTTTCCGCTAACTGGGAGATGCCCCATTATTTTATGTACCACTAAAAAAGATCAGTGTAATTATACTATAGTATGGTGCTTTCTTGAGAATTTTATTTTACTTCTTAAAAGAGCCATTTTAGATTTATTTAAAGATAAATTTCTGTCATATAACATGGATGCATATAGAAAGGGAAGCAAAATAAGTTGGATAATGTGTTTCTAAAACTTCCTCATCTTAAATCTGAAATCTGAATTTTTTTAATTAAAATTTTTGAGGTAATTGTAGATTCATATGCATTTGCTAAGAAATGATACAGAGAGATTCCTTGTACTTTTGTTCCTCCGATTTTTCTTCCCTTCAATATTCATAAAACTACAGCATATTGCCATCAGGATATTGATACAATTCACCAATGTTATGCACATTTCCCCAGTTTTACTTGTATGGTATGTGTGTATTTAGTTCTAAATAATTTATCACTTGAGTAGGTTCATGTATTCACCACCATAGGCAAGATCCTGAGCAGCTCCAACACACAAGGATCCCTTCTGTTGCTGCTCCTCTCCCACCTGCATCATTCCTCCAACCCCTGGCAGCCACTCATCTGTCCTCCATTTCTAAAATGTCATCTTTTTATTTTTATTTATTTTTTTATTTTTTTAAAGATTTTATTTATTTGAGAGGGAGAGTAAGCATAAGCAGGGGGAGTGGCAGGCAGAGGGAGAGAGAGAAGCAGGCTCCCCGCTGAACGGGGAGCCCGATGGGGGACTTGATCCCAGGACCCTGGGATCATGACCTGAGCCAAAGGCAGTCGCTTAACCAACTGAGCCACCCAGGCGCCCTAAAATGTCATCTTTCTAAAATGTGACATAGTGACATCACCAAAGATGGTGGAGTAGGGAGCTCCAAAGACTTCTCCCTTTACTGAGACAGCTATTAAGCTGACAAAAACTGTTAAAATCTAATTTTTGAAACTCTGGGATACAATCAAAACCTAAAACAACTGGAACATTGCTTAATAAAGAGGCACTAAGTTTTGTGAGGAATTCTTGGTGTGGCTTGATGGTGCCAAAGGGGACGCTTTGTTCTCACATTGTTGTGTCTTGACCTGTCTGGCATTTCCCCGAGGGTTTAATTCAGAAATTTGCCTTTGTTCCCCTCTGAGCTCTCTAGGCTTTAAAAACCTATTACCTACAGCTGTCTAGTGTCAGAGAGATGCCACACAAACCAGAAGTCTGGGGAGGAAGATACAAGGGGGTGGGGGGTGGTGGTGTGGGGTTAAGAAAGGCTTTGAAGGACTCGAGTAAATTAGGGAATCCGGAAGGCCACCCGCATGCCCAGTACTGCACAGTCTCAGAAAAGACTTGGGAGGACGCTAGGCCTCCACCTCTGATCTTTGAGCTTCACAAGTACAGGAGGTGAAGGATAAAGCAGAGTTGTAAGTGATCCGGCTACCCGTTGAATGAGTCCGAACTCAGCCAATCTGTTAAGGCCAGGAAAATAATCTTGTTTTTCTTTTTGACTTGAGACATCTAAGGAAATTAAATGAAATAACTCTAATTTTTTGGCCTTTCTTCTTTCAATTCGTGGATGTAGCTGTAGTTTGTTCATGTATACAGTAATATATGATTGTATCACATTTATGTTGTTAAACATTTGAGTTATGGAAATAAAGACCACTCAGAAATTTAACCATTCAGGCTGTTTATTCAGAGCTTGCTCTAGCAAGGGAAGCAGCCACGGACTACTTGACGCAGGCTGAAGTTTGTAATGGGAAAGCTTTCTAGTGAGAAACAAAGCTGCAGGCATGCTCTGACTGGAGGTCATTGGCATGAGGAAGCTGGAGCAGCACGCATCTTATGTGATTGTTTGGGGGAACATACCTGCCTTTCTCTGCTCGGTCCTGAGTTTGGACAAAAAATCAGGATGTTGGCAGTCATCAACTGAGTCTCTACCATTCTGAGTGGGTGGCTGCAGGGGCTTCATTCAGTGCCCTAACCTGGTTGCCGCAGAGGTCATGGGTCAGTTTGTTGTCATATAAGGTCTACCCATTGTCCATTTTTATATTCCGGCTCAGAGTTATTTCAGTTTATTGCTGCAAGGCTTTTCCAATTTACATGAAGTCTAATATTAGGAATAATATTAACTCCTAAATAAATGGAAAAGCTGGGTATGATACTGTAATCCCTAGAGCAACCATTTTAAAGAAAACATAGCCAACAGATAAATTAAAAATGGAATATTAAAAATTATTCAAATAATTCAAAAGAAAGTGAAAGGTAGGGGAAACAGGAAGCAAAAAGAAACCACAGGGACAAACAAGAATTGGCACACTGGAATCCAAACACATCAATAATTATATTAAATGTCAGTGGTCTGAGCCTGGGATTGGCAAGATTTCTCTATAAAGGGCCAGATAAAATATTTTAGGCTTTTTGGGCAGAACGGCCTGTCAAGTCTGCTTGGAATTAGTCATACACATGAATACTAAATGAGTGGGTGTGGCTGTATTCCGGTAGAACTATATTTACAAAAACAGCCTGCAGCAAGATTTAGCTTGCAGGCAGGCTGTAGTTTGCTGGCCCTGGCCTTGGAGTTCTAGATTTTGTTTTCTTTAAAATATACAGGACTTTGTTCCAGGAAGTAGTTACTTTTGAAACTGGGAATGTCTTTTAATTCTCATTTTCTTCCTTCCAGGTTTGGAAATTTCCAAGTTGGGAACCACTTTTAAAGTAAATTAACAGCGTGGGGTTTCTAAAGACCAGCCTGGTGATGAGAATCTTGGGTTCAGATTCACAAGACAGCAGACTGTGGTGACAGCCTTCATTAGGCCAAGGTAATGCTCCCACAATTCCTTAGGGAGAAGGGGGCCGTTTTGGATTTACTTCCAGCTCAGTCTTCCTCTAAGAATACAGTCTTTTGGCATCTTTGTTTAATTATACCCCACCTCGGTCTGGCCTTGGGCTTTGCTTTCTGCCCCCATTTCGGAGCAAGAGAAGACGGTAACTACTGGCTCTATGTGGGCCCCTCCAACCTCTGCCGAGTGGTGGCGCACAGCTACTGCAGGTGAAGAGGCTGGCAGAGGGTACAGGTGGTGCTGGTCTGGAAAAGCAGCCCGCCATTACCGGGCGGTGTGGGGACGACCGAGCTCATCCACAGGGCTCCCACACTACGTAACAGGACCGGAACTGGAAGGGAGGGGTCTTGCTGTCCCCAACACTTGGAGTCACTCCAATGCCCTCTGTTGATAAAGCTTAACCGTTAATGTCAAGAGTTGTGGGCAGGAGTTCTAGCTCTAGGATCACAAAGCAGGGCAGAGAAAGGGATTTGCAGGTGAGAGCCAAAAAATTGTTTTTGTTGTTTGTTTTTTTTTATTCACCCCTCCCCACCACATAACACCTTCATATGTCAAAATACTTTAAAGCAAGCCTTCACTTAAACCTATCCTGTGTTGAGAGAGCAAAAATAAAAAGATATTGTGACACAAGAAATGTGATGGTTTATATAATCTACACCTCTCAAAGGAAAAGAATACTTTTTCAGTGTCTTTGTTTTTTACAAGAAAATTATTTAAAGAACGTTTTCCCTTCCACTTGAGTCCTTGAAGAGCTCACATCTGTCTTTGTCTTTATAAATTTGTGAGAGCTTTACTTTGCATGGATTATAACTCTTGCAAAACCCTGATGAGGCAGAACAGTATTAATAATTCCAGGGCACAAATGAGGAATCAAGCTTCATTTATTCTGACTTGCATTGGCAGAATCACATTGGTGACAGAACTTTTTTTATACTGCTGATGTCCCGCAATTAAAAGTTTTATCAGAAAAAAGGGCAGAATTCTCTTCCCTCTTTAGTCCAGGAATGTTGATGTCCCTCATAAAAAAGCCCAGCTCAGTGTTCTCAATACCAGTGGAACTTGGCAGCTGCAGCAGCAAGTAAAATGTACAAGAATTCCTCAAAATACACCTGTAATTGAAGTGTATTTTTCACTGTCAAGAATTTGTTCATTATTTCAGAGATGCTATTTTAAGTCTAAGGCTTTCTACCACTACCAAGTGGATAAAAACAACAGTTAATAACTTTGATATCAGAGTTGTTATCCAAATGAATCCTGTAATGAGTCCTTTTGCTTATGCTTCCATATCTTGATTACTTATGCTTGGCTGTTGCTATTGCCGTAACTCCCCAATAGGACACAGGAGACATTTAACTCGCCTCACACCTCCACCTTCCTTCCCTCCCATGCTCCTCTTGAGCTTCCTCCAATGTATTTCTTCTTTGAGTTACTAAAGCTTCTCTTATGCCATCAGCTGTAGACAGGATTCCTTGACTCCGATGTAGGATGAGGAAATCAGGACCCCTAAACTCAGCACTTCCGCTCTCCCCAGCTTCCCATGCCCATCCCTATTACATTGCCAAGGATTCTGTTTGTTTGGATTGGTTTGATTGATTTTTAGCATTCAGTTTAACAATTATAGTGAAATATTTCATGCTTTAGATATGGAGTAACTCTAAAAAATCAGAAAGCAATAAGCCTGTATTATGACTATACCATGTATTCTTCACATGAGATCCTAGAAGTGTGACTAACTCAAAAAATGTAATCTTGTAATCATGAATTCCTGCAACTCAAAGAAATGTCAAGGTAAATTGTATTCTCTCTCTCTCTCTCTCTCTCTCTCGTTGTGTCTTTCTATCCATCCCTCCTACCTTAGTAGCTCAAAACCATGCCACATTTTAGTTTGCTTCACATTTTGACCATACTTATATTTTCAGTTTTTTCTTGGAATTTTTACTTCCATTTTTACTAAAGTAATCCATGTTCATAGTTTTAAAAATAAAATTGTTCTACATGGCTTAAAGCGGAAAACATTTCTTCCCTTCCACTGCCTTTCAATTCTCCCTAAAGGTGACCATTCTCAACTTTTTCAACTCTTGATTCTCAAGTGAGCATATTTTTTAATAAAAATATGCTCACACTGCTGTTTATTTTCCAGTTTGAGATATTAGATTATTGACCTCCCCCACTATATAGGGTGAGGTTTTAGGTCTCTTGCATGCTCTCCCCCCAGCCCCTGCAAACACACACATTGCACCATACATATGCTTCTCCTCCCCAGTTCTTCCAGAGTATTTGTATCCATTTTTGGTTAAGTCAGTAATCAGTGTTTGTATTATTATAGTTGTATTATTAGAGTTTTCCGTTATGTACACCTGAGCTGTGTGTACCCATCATTTATGATCTCCAAATTCTCTGACCCAGCTGAAAAATCTCTGAATACACTGTGAAATATATCAGATATTCTGTTGATTTCCTTGTTTTCTGGGTGACCTCCTTCCTCCTCTCTCATGCGTCCGGCTGCCCTCCAGGCCTGCTGCACAGCTGTCAAGCTCACATGTCCCTTTATCTCTGTCTGGGGGATCCCAACCATCTCTCCTGCATGGGATTTCCTACTTCCTGGACCCTCTCTTATGGTTTATACCCTCATTTACGTAGAGCTCCTCTTCCTGTACCTTCTCAAGAAAAGATGCATAGAATGGAAAACTATTATCTTACATGTTTGACAATATTCTTATTCTATCCTTGTATTTGACTAACAATTTTACTGGATATAGAATTTTAATTTGGAAAATATTTTCTCTCAGAATTTCAAAGGCATTGCTTTCTTGTCTTTAGGGTCAAATATTGCTTCAAGTGGTCTGCTAACCATTATGGTTACTGATCCTTTGCATGTGACCTACATTTTTCTCTCTGGAAGCTATTAGAGTCTTCTATGTGTCCAATGATCTAGAATTTCATGGTAATGTGCTTTAATGGGAATCTTTTTTTTTTTAACTAATGAGACAGACACTCAGTGGCTTTGGCAATGTATATGCTAAGTTCTGAAAAATACTGTATTATTCTTGAGTAATCTCCCTCCTAGTTTCTTTGTACTCTCTTTCTAGAACTCCCATTATCCAGATGTTGGATCTCTTTGATCTTCTAATTTTTTATCTTTTGTCTCCTTATTTCTGTGTTTAATTTTTTTGTCTGCTTTCTGGGGAAAATGTTGCTTAACTTCCAAATGTTACATTTATCTATTATCAATCTTTCTAATATCCAAGAGGTTTTAATTGCCCTTTTTAAAGAAGTTTTAATGTTTCCTTCTCTGAGCATCCTGTTCTTACTTCATGTTGATATTATTTCATCTCTTTTGATCCTGGTATTGTTTATTGCCTCTGAGTTTTGTTATATTGCTTTTTTTCTATTTAATTTTGGTTTCTCTGTTTGTTAGTGGTTTTCCTCAAATATCTGCTTGTCCTGGGCTGTTCATTTATATTTATGAGAGAGAATGAAAAAGCTGACAGAAGGGATGCCTGGTCAGCTCAGTCATTAAGCATCTGCCTTCGGCTCAGGTCATGATCCCAGGGTCCAGGGATTGAGTCCCGCATCGGGCTCCTTGCTTAGCGGGAAGGCTGCTTCTCCCTCTCCCACTCCCCCTGCTTGTGTTCCTTCTCTCGCTGTCTCTCTCTCTGTCAAATAAATAAATAAAATCTTAAAAAAAAAAAAAATCTAACAGGAGGCTCTGTGAGCACTGATGGGTGCTCCCATGTCAAGATCAAGGTATCCCTGTATAGTGATGGGACAGGAACTTGGCTATTTTAGCTGTCAGTACCTGCAGTCGTTTCTCTTGGATGATCGATTTCCTCAGAGAGGAATCTAACAAACTGCTGTGAGCAGATGAGAGTGGGAGTGTGGGAGGGGAGTATACACCCCTGGTTGCAGTATTCTCAGAGCATGTGGAGGAGAGACCTGGGGGTCACCATTCAGAATGGAGACTCACTCAGTTTCCGTTCTCAGTTGCTGTCTCTGGTGTTTCCAATCTGGAGTCCCTCCCAAGAGTAGACCTGTCAGGCTATTGCCTGGCTGGAGAGAATTTAAGGCTCTGTTTCTTATACCAACTGTCAACCATTCCATTAAAGGAAATATCTGGAACCTTTCCAAGGTGCTGTAAATTACCTTGCTCATCCAGATTCACTCCGGTAGGCATTTGGCTTTCCCCTCTCTTCTTAGACAGCCATCTGCTTTTCTGGTCCAAAATCTGGTGGCCATCCCTTTCCTGCTATCTTTGTCTCTCTTGATCCTCTTATCGTTGTATTTTTTATCTTTTTAAAAAAAATCCTTCAACTGTAAGTTTATTGGGAATTGGGAGGCAAATATATGTTCAACCTGCCATGTTTAAATGAAAAAAAAAAACAAAAACAAAACCCTATTTAGGACTCTCATAAAGCTTCTCTGTCCTTGTACTTCTGAAAATCTGTATCTTGCCTTCACACTTTATTAGTAGTTTGGCTGACAGAGAATGCTAATTTCAAAATTATTTTCCCCTTGGTGCTTGGAGGCTTTATTCCATTAGACCTCAAGCATCCAAGGATACTGATGAGAACACCGTGGTCTTCCCATGAAAATTCTTGTTCCTTTGTAGATAATCTGGGTTTTCTTTCTCTTTCTTCTTTATCCTCGATTTTAAATTTCACAAATTTGTCTCTAGTGGTAGGATGTTTAAAATCCATCTTGTTTGCTGTTCAGTGGGACCTCTCCACCCCAGGAAGAACGGCTCTCACCTCTGATTCCACCTTCTTTTCTACATGTTTTAAAGGGTACACTCTTTCTGTTTTGGTTTAGCCATCAGGAGAAGCCAATTTTCTTGCAGTCTTCAAAAAAATTCTTCAAAGTTTCTGATTTTGGGGTGATTCCTACCACCACCTCCGCCCTCCTCATCTATGTTATGGACTTCTCTGCTGTGAATCCTGTAATCTCAATTGGATTTGGGGAAGGAGAGAGAGTAAATGTGTATCCATTTGTCACTAGTCTAGACGGTTCACCTCTCTTTCAATATGCTCAGCACCTGATTGCTTATACCTCAGAATGTCCAGGTCTTTATTTTCTAAGTCAACTTGAGTTATTTATATGAATATTCACTAGAAAGTTCTTAGAGAATATAACCAGTTTTATTTTGCATCATTTTTGCGTATAACCAGAAAAGATGGCTAAATTATTGCTGTTGATATTTATGTTTAATTATAGCATTCTCAAAAACATCCCAAGAAAGATCCTAAAAAGAGAATGGTGTGATTATAATTTACCTTGACCCTTTTTCTTTTCTTTTTTTTTCCATCTCTTTATCATTCTCCCCTTCTGAGTGATCATCATCCCTAATTCCTTTCTTCATCTTTCCTGGGTGTGTGTGTGTGTGTATACACACACACACACACACATACATATATGTAATTTTTTGGTATATTTATTTTTGTTCAAATTACCACATACACTTTTGAAAAATCAACCTATTAAGTAATTCTAGGGTACGCCTATCACTGTAGAGTGCCTGTGGCAGGGAACCCAGCCCTTTGGTACTCAATGAGAAAGAATACTGAAGAGGTCTTAAATACTTTGATCTTTAACCTTGAAAATAAAACTTTTGGTTCTTCCTTAATCTCTTGGACTACAATTTTCAGTTCTGAACTGTTTCCTTGGACTCTGCTAGAATTAATAACAAGCTTTTCAAAAACACTAATAGTTAAGTCTTCTAGCCTATAAAGTTCTCAAGAATAGAAATAACAAAAATATACTTCACTATGAAAGTAATAAATGGCCAGCACTAAAAACTAAATACATAAGGTGAAAAATGATTTTATACAACTCAAATACGTTAAATGATATAACACACCCTGGAACCATAAATACAGCATAGCTTTATGGCTGATAGTCTCCATATGTATGCCTGTCAATTCTGAGGGGTTTTTTAAATTTTGTTTTTGGTGAAATTTTGTTCATTCTCTGACCAGTCCAGAAAATGTGGGTATTTTCAAGTCAAACAAGTAAAGACCTCTTAAAAATGTGAACAGAGATTTTATTAACTGGTATAAAAATTTTAATTAAGTAACATTAAAATTACCCAGGTATATCTTCAAAAATCTTGCTTTACAAAGGTTAGAAATGGTCTTAAAATGTTAATACTGAACTTACAGTTTAAGGTCCTAACCTTGATGAGACTCAAATTTTTTATTATTAATCCCTGAAGAATTTACCATAAAAACAACTCTGACAGTTAAATGAATATATAGTCAGAAATACTGCTACCCTCAGCATTAAATATTAGGGACTTTTCCAGCCCTATTAAGCTTGATATTGTCATTCTTGTCATTACATGTAAGTACCAAGAAATATGTATTTTAGTAAATCATTTGTTAGTGAATAATATTTTATATAAATGAAACTGCAGGAGTTTAAATTTTAAGATGCAGTTCTCCAGAGAAATATCCTAAATTTAAAATTTGTTTCAGAATTGAAAAGGACTTAGCTTTCCCAGCTATCTTTGGCATAGGCAGGCTTTTCATTGAAGCTGAGTCCTGGATGAGAAACTGAGAGTGGGCTCTGTGGCTGACCTGCAGAATAACCCATCCTTAAGCCACTTTGTCTCTGGCTCACTGGTTTTCCAATCATAAAATAGAAGACGAATACTTCTGTGTGTGAGTGTGTGTGTGTGTGTGTGTGTGTGTATGTGTGTGTGTGGTCATCGCATTTGTGATAAAATCCACGTCTTCTATAATAACTGCCTTCCACCCCAAACAGGAGAAAATGTATGCTGTAGGAAAAAAGTAGTAAGTTTACTTCAATTAAACTTGAAGTTAGTTTAAACTTAAATCTGAAAGATTATTTTAGTCAGCTTCAAGTTTTAAGCCTTGGAAATAATCTTAGGTGCTAATGATGGTAAAATTTTCATAATTAAAGCATTGTTTCATTCATCGGTGCCAAAATTCTCTTCATGAAAATTATAGCATTTAAGGAACTTCTACTGACCTAGAATGAACATTTGATTGTCAATTAACCAAAGAAAATTTCTTCTTCAAAAAAGTGTTTTCAACATAGCTGTTGGCTTTTCATTACGAAACCCTTACTAAATCTTAACTTGTCCTGTGGAAATCATTTGTGACTATTTTCTTAAAATTATTGTTTCACAATTTATGGAATAATATGTGGGAATCCGTACATGTGAGAGTGTACATATATCTGTATACATTTTTTCAAGCGAGAAGTTTTTAAGAGATTACAGAACAGAAAGAAGGAATGCAAGATTCAAAGCATGGATGCCCTTAAATGACAACTACGCACCAATAAATGGACCATACTGTAGTAATTTTAGTGCAAACAGACATGCATTCTGTGTTGTGTGGGCGACCTTTGAATGATGAGAGGACTCTCTAGAAGGCCAAGGACACAAAACCACAGGAACCTTTAGGGTAGGTCCTCAATGTAGTAAACATAAAAACAAAGGTACTGGGCATCTTGAGAACGGGCCCGTGCATTTTCTTTCTCTACTTCGGAGTGTGGCGATAACATGTGTTTTAGGGACTTTGGCCAGATGGTTTTTGAAGGTTTATGAAGCACTGAACATGACTTGGTTAGGTTTAGCATGACGAACACATTGTGAAATATTTACATCACAATCTATATAAAAATAAAACTGTGAACAGCTGGACAAGAACACTGATCTACTCGCCGAACTTTTTTCCACGTTCCTTGACATCGAGGATTGCCAATTGCTTGCCAGTGGAGAGTTTGATTTCTGAAACGATATTTTGAAAATGTTAGTTACGCTGAAAGCAAACCAAAAAGAATTCTAATTTACAGGATCATAAATTGAGGTGTTTTGTTGTTGATCAAAGAATGATCACACCTGGAGTTTTAAAGTGCATTAAAAATTGAAATTAAAAAAAAATGATCACAAACTGAGTTTCCCTTCTTAGGGGTTCCATCAAAACAAGTTACAAATTAATCTCTATTTGAGGATACCCTCTTGTTGAGAGACCAGTTTGAGGTTACTGTATTCATTTCTCCCACTCGATCTGACTATACGAAGTGTTACATAAAGGAAAATGGCTCCCTGTTTCATGTATATTTAAATTAGAGGGGTCTGCCCAAATGAGCTCTTGTAATCCTCAACTCTTTGATTCCATAATGAAAAAAATGGGAGAAGCAGGAAGAGCAAAGCCAGATTGTTGAAATTATTATTTTTAAAGTCATTGGAATCTCAGCCAGGGTTTAAGGTACTTTCTGAGTACAAATTCAATTACAAATTCATTTAAAGACAAAATATGGATGAGATATTCAGAAAAATATTAAGTCTAAAGATTTGGTTTCTATTTGATATGAATGTCTTACCTACTTTACTGTCCATGTGGTGTACTCCTTACAAAGGCTATCAGGCACAAGTGACTACTAAACATAAATTCAAGTTATTAAATATTAAAATATACTATGGGAATAATGACTAGCTGGGAAGGTCCTTCTTTTACTTTCTAATCTGTATTTTTATCAGTTCCACCTGACATACTTAAAACCATTAATCCACGTGTGACTTAAATTGGTCTTTGTCCAATAGCTGACCAGCATGAAGTCTACTCTTCTCTTAGGAAGAGTGTTATTATCAGCTTTAACTGATAAATAAGTACAGGATTGGGATAGATTTTTCAGAGTCAATTCTTCTGGACAATCTATAGATTCCTGTAGGTTTCTGATCCTGCAAAGCTGAGCCTACCACCCTCTCAGTCATGGTTTTAGGACTACTCCCATTGGGCAGTGGTTCTGAAACATTGTTGTGGGACTGCATCATCTGGGCAGGGGTCAGCAAACCCCAACCCACGGGCCAAATCCAGCCCACCCTTTGTTTTTGTGTGGTCTGTGAGTTAAGAATAGTTTTTTGTTTTTAAAGAAAATCAAAAGAAGATGTCATGACACATGAAAATTACATGAAATTTGAATCTTAGTGTCCATAGATACAGTATTTTTAGAACAAAGCCAAGCTTACCTCTTCACATAGAGTCTGGGGCTGCTTTCATGCTGTGATGGCAGAGTTGAGCAGTGAGACCAGATAGCCCACAAAGCTGAAATTATCTACTACCTGCCAACTCCTAACCTAAAAGATGGTTAAAAATCCACCCCCAGGGACACCTGGGTGGCTCAGTTGGTTAAGCGTCTGCCTTCAGCTCTGGTCATGATGCAAGGGTCCTGGCATCGAGCTCTTCTTGGGGCTCCTTGCTCAGTGGGGAGCCTGCCTCTCCCTCTCCTCCCCGTCCGTGCTCTCTCTCTATCTCTGTCTCTCTCCCTCAAATAAATAAAATCTTAAAAAAAAAAAAAAATCCACCCCCAAAGATTCTGATTCAGTTCATCTCAAGTGGGGCTCAGGAATCTGCATATTTTATTTTTTTTAAAGCTTTTTTATTTATGAGAGAGAGAGAAAGAGCATGACGGGGTGGGGGAGGAGCAGAGGGAGAGGGAGAAGCAGGCTCCCCACTGAGCAGGGAGCCCGACGTGGGGCTCGATCCCAGGACCCTGAGATCATGACCTGAGCTGAAGGCAGTCGCTTAACCAAGTGAGCCACCCAGGTGCCCCAGGAATCTGAATTTTTTAAATCACCATCTCAAGAGGTTCTGATTCAAGTGGTTTTCAAAACACTGCTTTGGAGTAATGAGGTTTTCAATGGTCATTTGGGAGCATGATATGAACCCCAATATCCAAATTTACCCACTCATCTCTGCTATAGAGCCTCCGAGTCCCATAGTGTAAACTGGGCACTGGATTCAGGAATTGCTAGACAGAGGGTTCTCCTTACTTGGTGTTTTGGCTCCCAAATCATGCCCTGATATGCTACATAGTCTGCTGTTCAGGACACAGGACAGATCTCTCCAAATGAAAAATAAGAGAAGTCCTTCAACCAGTGTTCCTCCCTTACCCATCTGAGTCTAGGCCATCTCCGGAACAGCGAAGGCTCACAGAATTCATAGCTGGGGGTTGACAATCGACGCATACTGTGTACCCCTCTCGGAGATACTGCATCCATCGAGTCAGGGGGCGGTTTTCCATAGCGCAGTGATGAGTCAATGACTCTGTCTTGAACTCCATACAGTATCTAGAGCAGAAAACAGGACACTTGCACCTGCTATAATGAGAGACAGCCTAACGCTGTAAAAAGTCTTAGGAAGCCTGCAACCCCCCCCCCAAGGACATTTGACGGACTGGAGAAGGTGGTGTGGTGCATCTTCACAGGCTATGCACCGGTCACAGAATGCCTTGTAAAGTTTCTCATTTGCCGAACTATGATGATGGACGATGCCCGACTGGCAACTACAGTGAAGCTTGTGGCTCTTTTCCAATCCCTGATTGAGTTACCTGGTCAACATGAGTTTGCAGAAATTTGGATATCCTGTTTCCTATCTAATCTAAACACCACATTGTGTATAAAAAGCACATTTCAGTAAGAAAATAGCCCTTCATAACTTTACTGATAAAAGAATAAGAGAAATTGAATAAGAACTTGCTTGAGTCTTAAGTCTGAGAACGTGTGAGCCCCTGGAGGGCTGGTCCTCAGTGCCCTGCCCGACACCCATGACTTTCTGCCCCACAGACATTACCAGGGACCTTCCATATGCTCCCCACCCAGCTCACCTGCGTGATCTGGGCTAATGATGAGTTTGGACTTGAATCCAAGCATCAAAGTTATATTGGGCATCATAGATAAAAGGAAATGGGAAGCTGGAGACGTTTTTCTGTGACAGAGGCTAGTGTCACCTTACACTGAACTGTGGAAATCTCTAGCACTATAGTGACTAGAGCACTCTAACATCCAGACATGGGTGAATACTTTAGAGTCTTGTACTAAAAAGCAACATAATTTTACAATTCTTCAGGGAAGCAAAACATAGTAACTAACTCCTGCATGTTGTGTTTTTGTTTCTAATTAAGCTCCAATGGGCTAGTTTCTTATCCATAGAATTATGAGCTGTCCTAGGTTAGATGGAAAGTGATTGGAGGGTCTGCTTCTGTGAGCTTTAACAGGGGTAGACCATTTATTAGGTACCATTAGATACTGAGGCAGGAAATTCTATGGCGAAGCTTCAAGCAACTTTAGTCAGACAGCTTAACCCAGACATCTCTTCATTATTTTCTCATTAAATTCTTACAACGCCATGTGGTAGGCATTCATATTCTCATTTCTCAAGAAGAAAACCTGAGATGGGACAACATATCCAGGGTCTTACAGCTAGTGCATGGCCATGGGCGGGGGTTTCTGAACATGCAGCAGACTGGGGTCCCTCTGCTGACAGCTGAACAGCGGACTTCAGGTAAGCATGGAGGTCCCTCCCAGGCTGTGCCTTCTGTCCTGACAGAAATCCTCAGAGCTGACGTGTGGGCCACTTTCAAATTAACCAAACACAGGTGGTGCTAGAGTCCATGTTCTCCTAATGACTCTAAGAGGAACATCCTGAGTATGATGGATAAAGTGATACCATCATTTTATATAGTGTGTTTCTTGTTGATGAGACCTCAGAGACAAATCCTTGCGGCCTCACAAAAAGAGAAGAGACAAGTAGGTCCCAGCTTTGTGGTAAAGAGTCATGTTTTACCCAAAGTAAACAAACAAGTAACAGAAGAACCCCCATCACACTAAGACAAGCTTTGCGGGCTGACTTGGCCATACACCTGGAAAAGCATAAGCTGAAAAACCCAAACCAAACCATACAAAACAAAAACACTAAATTACCCAGCGTCCTCTGTGACTGTAGACCACTGTGCAGAGGCGGCTTGTCTTGTTCTCTCCTTGTTGAATGCAGAGGTAGTTATAAAGGCAGGGACTAGGAAAGAGAGAAGGGCGTTGGACACATGCAGCCTAAAGTACTCGGAACGACCTTTCCCAAACTTGATGTCAATCCTGTCTCAAGCCCCCCATCCCTAAGTGCAAAGGGCCGGAGCACACCACCAGGAATGGAATGGGGCCAAGTTACCGTGTCCCCAGAACCCAGTTCAAAGAAGATTTGTGTGCACACCGATGGGCAGGGAGAACTGCAGGCCTCTGACAGGCAGGCTTGTCCTTGGTAATAAGTTGACACTGTGTGAAAGGGGAGGAAGGGGGGCCAGAAATAAAAACCAAGAGGAAGTAGTGAAAGATGCAGGTAAGCCAGGGGGGAAAGGAGGGAATGGAGAAAGGGAGAGAAGATTTTTATTTTTATTTATTTATTTTTAAAGATTTTATTTATTTGACAGAGAGACCCAGGGAGAGAAGGAACACAAGCAGGGGGAGTGGGGGAGGGAGAAGCAGGCTCCCCACTGAGCAGGGAGCCCGATGCGGGCTCCACCCCAGGACCCTGGGATCATGACCTGAGCCGAAGGCAGACGCTTAACGACTGAGCCACCCAGGTGCTCTGGGAGAGAAGATTTTTAAAGATGAAAGGAAGAGAAATAGAAGAGAAAAGGGAAAGAAAGGAAGAATAAAGTAGAAGAATAGGAGGGAGAAAGGACAGAGGAAGAAGACAAAAAAGAGAGAAAAGGGGATGTAAGGAGAAAAAAAGACCACCAGAGAGAGAGAGAGGAAATGTGAAAAGGAGAAAACAGATGTACCAAGGGAAGAGGTGTGAGTGCCCCCCCCAAGGTCCTCGTGACCCCAGCCTGGAAGCTTCCCCGCCTGCCTTGTGGCCTCAGGGTGACTGCCTGGTGCCAGCCAGCACAGCATCCCCATGCCAACCCTCAGCCTGGTGGAGGGGGGTGTGGTGTGGGGAAGGAAAGTCAGGTTGGTCCTCCCCTCCCTGTCCCCAGCCCCAACCCAACTCTGACGCTCTGGCCCGGAGAGAAGAAAGGGAGCCAGGAATCCTCCCACCTCTGCTCTCTTCTTTCACTGATTTTGTTTGTGTGCCTCCTTCCTGTTGGCCGCTAAGTGTGGGGAAGCGTCTGATGCTAGGTACGTGCGGCACCTGCAGATGAACTCCCGATGCTGCTCTGCGGTCAGCTCAAGGAAGGCAGGGTTTTGCCCTGGTCATCACTGTGGCCCTCACACACTGACACACTCAGTAAGTACGTAGGCAACGAATGGCGGCTCAATGAGTGAGTGAATGAAGTCACGGAATTGCCACCAAGCCTCCGGGTCCTACCTCCCTGTGGTCTTCTGTTCCTACACTGAGCCCTGTGGCTGAGACGACTCAACAATCCTTCCTACCTTTCGTTTCAGAAACTGGACCGTCCCAGGAAGGGTAGAGACCAGCTGATGTTGGCTCGTGCGCTGCCAGAGTCATCATCAATGTGAGCAAACTGGCAAAAGGGCTGCAAAACAGATGCGTCAAGCCTACGTGTTCATTTGACGTGGCCCCTTACTGGCTCCTTTCGGCCACAAGATGGCAGCCCGAATTCTTTTTTAGATTTTCTCGGGGAGGCCTTTTGCTATGACTAGGGAATGTAAGACCAGAGGGGCCAAACACCGGGTAGTCACCTGCTCCTGAGAGTTGCAGGTATCCTTCTTGTCCTACGTAGTTTGGTGCTTAATCTCTTTGGTGTGAAAATTCACATCTAGCATAAGCCCTGAGAGTCGCAGCTGTGAGACTCTTTCCTTGCTGCGCTAACAAGTTTAATTGTTTTCCAGAAACATGCCACTCCTTCTAAATGTGACCATAGCTTTGGGACTTTCCCAAACCCGTGGACAGAATCAGAAAGAACAAGGGAGCGCATGTATGTTAGGAACTTACTGTTTCTCTTAGATCTAATTCTCTGGAACACAAACATCGAAAGGATTTTCGCTTTCCCACGTATTGTTTCCATTTCTGTTCTTCTGACGCAGTTAAGAGTTTATTCAGCAAGTGAAGAATACAATTGCAGCTCAGTCCACGTGGCATTGGACCAGTCAAACTATGAAATTTTCAGGATGTGTTTCTTTAGCTCAAAACATGTATTTGATCTCCTTATTTGTACCACATATATTATTACAGAAGTTCAAAGGCAACGCACTTAATATATAGCTTGGGGCAGGGAGGGGAAATGAGGTTAGGAGGTAAAGGGCAAGTATATGATTATAATATCTGATATAAAATCCTTAGAAAAAGTTCTCTAATAATAATAATAATAATGAAAATTAACAATGATACACTTCTAAGTTTCCAGGCATAATGCTGAGCACCTTTCATGTGTGAATGCATTTAATTCTTACAACCACCCTCTGGGATAGTTCCTATTATTTCCCCATTCCACAGATGAGGAAATTGTGGCACAGAGGTTAAGGAACATGTTCAAGGCTCCCGTCTAAACACGGCAGTGTCAGGCAGTATCTCTAAAACCACGCTCCTCCCTGCCTAGAGACCCTTGCAATGTGGATCACAATGTTTCATTGTTTTATGCGTATTTCCTATGAATTGCTTAAATTCTGTTTTATTTTCCCTTTCTGTCCCTAATGTGTCCTTAATATGAAGTAACTTTAAAGGAGGAAAGGGAACATTGTGAGCCCTCTACCTGGAGTCCCTTCAGGCCCCCCTGGGAGGGTGGAGGGCTGGGATGGGGCCTGGGGCCCCTGGGGTGGGGGGTGGGGCTCGCGGTGGGCCCAGATTAACGCCCGCTGGAACAGCACATGGTATGTTTCCAGCCTGCTTCTTTACAAGTACCTTCTCATCCTCTGTGACTGGTCCCCACAAAAGCTTTGTGAAGAGGTGCCCTGATGTGTTCTCAGAAAACTGAGGCTCAAGGACGTTAAAGGAAGGGAAAATTCACAGTAAATGATGAAGCAAGGACCCCAGCACAGAAGATTGCTTCTGGTTTTTCGATCTCCTGTCCATGTTCAGTGCCAAGCCTCTGCAGTACGTAAGACCTGTCCTAAAAGCCAGCCAGTAACCCTGGGCCTTGTGTCTTCTGTGTCCTGCCCCCTCAAGCCCTAGCTTGGCTCAGTGGCACATTCTACTGAGAGGGGGCACTTCCTCCTTGAACCAGAAACCTCCAGAAACCAGACCAGCAGCCACATTGCCTGGGGGTCTCTGAGCCAGTGTGACTTTTTAATATCTCCCCCCAGTTTAATTTCCATTACTTAAGAGTGGGAATTTAGAAATTATTTTTGCCTTCAGTCCCACTGCTGCTTATGTGTGGAAGAACATAGCCGGGTGCCGGGGGACAAAGCCTCTCAATAAAAGCCAGGTCCCCCTTCTTCCCCCTTCCTGGCAACAATATCCAAATGCAGTAGATTCTTTGTTAAGAGGCCATTTGCCAACTTTTCTGGCATCCTCTCAGCCTACCATTGTTCGGTTTTACAACAACTCCACTTCTGAAAGCATGGCACCACGCATACTTACTTTGAACATGAAAATAAACTGAATTTGCTTAGGGAATTTCATAAAGCCCTCTGACACGATGGGGTGTCACCAAGGTAGGCTTAGAACCACTGGTCTGTAGATATAGTGTAAAAGGGAACAGAATGAAAATGTGACAAATAACAGCGGCCCAGAAGCATACAGCTTATGATACACATCGATCTCCTTTTAGGAGGGGTCAGGATGTACAACTAATACAATAATAGGGCTTTTTGGATTTGTTTTTATGATAAAGATAGAGTCAAGATCTGCATTAAAGGAAATGGAAAAAACTCAATAGCTACTTGATCATTAACAAGAGAGCTTCGGTGATCCTGTTTCATTCACGGGTCTCACAGAGCCTTTCTAGTTCTATACTTAGTTACCAGAACCTGCACTTGCAATTTTAGCTCTAATGATAAAAGGAGCAGCAACGCAATATCAAGAGGGAAAACCCCACAGGATTTAGAGCCCTGAGATCCAGGGTTAGATTCTGAAAGTCCTTCACAAATGCTGTCACCTCCCTGAGCTCCAATGTCCTCTTGGTCTCAAGGATAATGAGGCTGTCCCCTCTTCAAGGTCAGCAGGATACTGGCCCCGCCAAGATTTCCACACCCTAATCCCCAGGACCTGTGAATATGTTATGTTATTTTATAAGGAAGAATTAAAGTTGCAGATGGAATGAAGGTTGCTACTCAGTTGGCCTTAAAATGGGGAGATGATCCCGGCTTTTCTTGGTGGGCTGAGTGTAATCACAAGGGTCCTTCAAAGAGGAAGAGGCGGGGCACCTGGGTGGCTCAGTGGGTTAAGCATCTGCCTTCCGCTCAGGTCAAGAGCCCAGGGTCCTGGGATCGAGCCCTGCATCAGGCTCCCTGCTTGGTGAGGAGCCTGCTTCTCCCTCTCCCACTGCCTGCCGCTCCCCCTGTTTGTGCTCTCTCTCTCTCTGGCAAATAAATAAATAAAATCTTAAAAAAAAAAAAAAAGAGGAAGAGGAAGGTGTTACTACAGAAGAAAGCACAGAGATGCAATGTAGCTGGCTGTGAAGAAGGAGGCAGGGCCGTGAGGAGAGAAATGGTGACCATCTCCGGATGATGGAAGAGGCAAGGAAACGGATTCTCCCCCAGAGCCTCCCTAAAAGCAATGCAGGCCCTGCCAATGCCTTGCTTTTAGCCCAGGGCGACCTGGGTTCCACTTCTCTCCCCTGGAACCCTAAGGTAATACATTTGAGTTGTTTTAAGCCACAGCGTTTGGGGTAATTTGTGACAGTGGCCGTGGGAAGGGAGTACGCTCTCCTACAGGATCGCTATGAGCACTGAATCAATAATGTCGATAAAAGCTCTCCACCCTGCAGCTGTGAGGGACTGCTCTGCCATGCACCCAGGCCTCCTGCCCTGCCAATAGCAAGTCTAGTGGAGCGGGGAGGCGGGCACAGGTGGCCGCGCAGCCGGACTGAGAGCCCCAGGTGGAGGAGGGTGCTCCACACCTATCTGCCCATCCTTCTATCACGGCGCTCGCTCAGCACCCTGAGCTGGAGTTGGCTGATAGGTTTGGTGTTCGAGTCTGCATCTCCAGAACCCAGCATCGTGCTGGCTGTAGTAGATGCTCAGTGAACCTTGAATGAATGACACACGTAAATGAATGTGTGGGAACTGCGGTGACACAGGGCTCAGGGCAATCCACCAAATTGCATTTTCACGTCACTGCTCTTGTTTCCCTTTTGTTGTCCATCATTTTCCCAGGTGTATTCCACAGAACACTAATGATTCGGTGAGATCCCCTGGGGAAAGGGGCCATTTAATCCAATAAGGTGGGAAAGCGTCGCATATCCTATCTCCCTCCTGTAGAATGAAAATGCTTATTAGCATAAGAAAGCCTCTGAGAAGCTCCTCCTTAGAGAAAATGGTCTGATTTACCCCACGTTTTCCTGACTAAACCCCTGTTTTGCATTCGGGGGCCTCTGCCCTCAGGAAAGTGGCACATAAGGGATCCAGCTATGAGTCAGGGGCTGAGGGAAGAGGTGTGCACCCACACTCGGGCTAGAGCAGGGGTTCTGGAACGTCGGTAAGCAGCGGAGTCCCCTGGAGGCCTGGTTACAAGCACAGTGCTAAGCCCAGCTCCAGCGACCCTGATCTTGTGGGTCTGGGTGAGGCTGGAGGAACTTGCCTTTCTAACAATTTCCCAGCTGAGGCAGACGCTGCTGGCTTTAGGAGCCACCAGACTGGAATATTCAAGGGGTCTTGTCTTCCCTGACCAGCTTGTGATAGCAGTCATCATTTCCACGGAATTACCATAGGAACGTGCATCTCAGGAACGCAAGTCAGGGCTGCAAATGCCAGGAGAGATTTCTCCTCTCTTCCCAAACTGGGTTTTACCTCACCTTATTAGGAAAGGCGGCCACTGAGCACAGATCTGTCCTGTTGGTGTTATTTCCAAGTCACGAACACCTTGTGGGGAGTCACCTATGAAGACTGCTGCTTTATAAAGTCCTCTTATTGGACCTTGGTGGGAAGGGTGGGTGAGAGGGTTAACTCGGGAACACGGGAACATGTAGAGGAGGACAGGCCCGGGGGACTTTGCCCAGAGGACGGAGGAGAGGACACGTCCAGGCAGGGGCGAGAACCCCAGGGGGCAGGGTGTGGGCCCAGTGCTCCTAGGTGCCCTTGGCCCATGTTCCATAGCGTCCTCTTCATTGACCTTCCTGTCCCTTTTCCTGTGACCTGCATTATTCTGTTATAAAGAGATACGGGGCTGCAAAGGGGTTCTGTGTCAGCCTGGTCTAGCCCTAAAGAGTCAAACATACTTAAGAACTCCTTTCTAGCAGCCAGACCCAGTAAATGAGCAAAGCAGCTGCTTCCTGATAGATCAGCTATAGGTTTTAAGAGTCATCCAAAAAATCAATAATGTCCTACAACGACATCCTCCCGAGCCTTTTCTGTCGTGCTCTGCAGAGTACATGAGCTGACTGTGGTTTTGTTCCACGACTGTTTCTGGGAGCACTAAATTATTTCCCTGGGCGCTTCATCTGACCGCTGTGTCCCCGAGACACCTCCCCCCTGGCCCTTCCGTTAGCCACTCCCCTACCAGAGGCATCCTTTCAAATCACAGATCTGACCACATCAGAAAATGCTACAGTAGCTCTCCAAGGCTCCTAAGATAAAGACCAAAATCCCAAACGCAGAGCTCAGGGCGGACGCTTCCCCTCTCAATGCCAGCCCCACTCTCTGTGTTCCCCAGACTCCGGCCTTCCTTCAGCCTCGCAAATGGGCCTTTGCTTCCCCGGGGTTAGAGAGATGAGCCAAAGATGGTCTCTAGGTTGTTTACTTCTGCACAGCGGGCTGACAACTGTTAGCCCCAAAGTCTACTGGCAGCAAACTCATTTTTACGCATCCAAATTGTTTTCCTTTTTAAAGATTCATTTATTTATTTTGAGAGAGAGAGAGTGCTTGAGCAAGCATGGGGGGCGGTGCAGAGGGAGAGAGAGTCCTAAGCAGACTCCCCAGTGAGCACAGAGCCCCATGCGGGGCCTGATCCCATGACTCTGAGATCATGACCTGAGTGGAAACCAAGAGTTGGCCCCTCCACCAACTGAGCCACCCAGGCACCCTCCCAAATTGTTTTAAAAATTGCCAAACAAGCAGATTTTTAGCCATTTGGGCCATGCCTGCTTTACATACCCTGTGAAACTAGACCTGGCATCTGCTGGCCATCGATGAGCTAAAAAGCCTTAGAGTTGTAAGACCCCAAGCTGCTACCACCCTTGCCCTTCGAAACTCTCTGACCCAGAGACTCCCGACCATGCTGCTTAGTTGCCATCCCCTAGACACAGAGCCCCGGGCAGATTCCTCTCCTCCCCCTCTGGACGGTGGTCCCCACACCATAGCCTCTGGGCTTCCGCTTCTCTTGCAACTGGGTCCAGGCGCCACCCAAAAAAAAGCTTATTGTGGATTACCGCCTCCTGTGGTCGGGTTTTTCCCACATCAGCCCTCAAATCCCTCTAGCCCCTATACCTGACTACCTGGTTCACCATGCCAGTTTCTGTCGGGGAAGTTCTACATTTCTCCGCCTTACCTCCCCCTCCTTGGGGAAGTCCCTTCCCTTCTCCACTCCTATGGCTCCCTTCCTCCCGCAAGACCTGGGGAAATCAGCTTATTACACACACTCATGGCTCCAAACAACTCACTTGTTCAAGACCAGTTGCACCAAACTGCAGCTGTAATTTTCTGGGACTGATTTCCTAAGATCATGATTATGACCCCCCCACCCCCCCACCAGACTGCGATCTGCATGACAGCAGGCTCACGTCAGCTTATGTCACCAATGGAACCCTGGCACCCAGCCCAGTGCCTGGCAACCAGTAGACTCTCAATAAATATTTGTGCATAGAGTGAAAAAAAAAAGGAGCAAAATGGCTTGATGAGTGTCATGTTGGTATAAACATTTCCAAGTTCCTATGAAAAACACATGACCTTTGTTATCCTGAGAAGTCAGTGTTGCGCTCTATCAGATTCAATCGAGGTCAACACGTTGGTGTTGGTCTTTTGGCTTATTTCTTTGTGAGTTTTGTACGACTCCCGACTCATTCATCGGCGGAATTCTGGCCCCTCCCTTGGCCACTCCACAACCAGAATGATCTTTTCAAATCACAAATCTGATCACATCAGCCCCAGTGCAGTCAGCTGGAGAGGAGGAGCATGTGTTTTATGAGAATAATTTATCACTGCTTAGAAATTAATAATTTTTCTATTACCTTCACACGTGTGTGATGAGCCAACCTGACTACCCAGGAATTAAAGGTGCAAGATGAATACTTACCTGATGGACACTTACTACCCGGTGTGAAATACTGTCATCCTACCTAAAATCCTTTGTCACCAGCTTGAGTGTGCCAAGCATCACAACGCACGTGTCCTTTCCACAGAGGGCACGCACAGAAGTGGGGGGCCACCCCGGGGTTAAGAACACACCGACCACGGAGGGGGTGGAGTAGGGAGGCCCTGATGCAGCTGACACTCACTTCTTTATCAGGCATGTCCTGCACTTCCTGTCTGGGTGGTCTGGCCCATCCCACTGCCCCGCCATGCACGGAACTCCCCCACCCCATCCCCCAACCCCGCTCAGCACATGGCCTTTTAGGGGAGGACGAGATGGAAAGTCAACACAGACAACAAAGGCGGCCACCGTGAAACCCTCGGTACCGAAGGAGTGCCCGCAGTGCTGGCCCTGGGGCGTTGAGTAGTCCAGGCAGCCGGCTCTCTCTTCCAGGGGCGGGCAGGGCGCGCCGCCGTTCCGGGGCTCCTGCTGCACCGAGCGCCTCCGCACGCGGGCCGCGGGCTGGCACTGGTCGACGCAGCCGCTCCAGGGGCTCCACTCCCCCACGATGCACGCGCGAGCTGAAAAACAGCACGGCGGGGATGGGACGCTCAGCTGGGTAAGCCCAGCCGCCGGCCAGGCTGCGCCGCCAACACCAACAGTCGAGGTTAGCCCTCGCAGACCGCGCTTTGACTGCGTCCTGCATGGCGGGGCGGGGCGGGGCGGGGGGGGCAGGGACGGGACACGGTCTCAGCAGGGCTCAGTGGACAGGGATGGTTAGCTGGGACCCCGCACCTCTTCGGGGCAGACGGGCAGCTCTTCTGGGGTCATGAGGGTGGGTCTGAGCCAGGGAAGCCCCCGAGTGAAGAGAGTGACGCCTTCAGGTACTTCCTCATACTCCGTGGGCTTAGCTAAGATCTTTGCTCTTATTAGAGTTCCTTGATTTTAACTTTATCCTCCCCTTCCCAGAACATTTTTATTTTAACAGCAGTACGTATTCATTGTAGAAAGCATAGAGGGAAGAAACGTAAAAGAAAATGCCCAAGTCACTTCTTATCCCCAAGTGTGTCTCTCCATCAGTCATGGGTTAGGGCCACCCCAAAGGACCTCTAGACTTGGGACTTCTCTTAGGCGCTCTATCCTCATCCTCCATGGCTCTTAAACCCCTACACAGGAGAGCTGGGGTTTGCCAAAGAGCAACGAGAGCCTACAGAGGTAAAGACTGGGCTTTCATGGTCAGGCGTGAAGGGGCAGGTCTGGGGCAAGAATTTGGCTATCGTTGACAATTCTCTGGCCATGACTGGAAAATCTATGTGGTTGCATACTTAACTTTCCCGTTGAAAAGTCCTAACGAATCTTTTTAAAAGGGCTATAATGAGTTTCAGTGGAATTACTTCAGGACTTGAGACTGTTTATAAGAAAAAGAATAAGAAAACAAAAGATGTACCTCCGAACTAGAGGCCCAAATTCTTTCTTTCCCACAAAATGTGACCCACTTTCCCTACCATCCTCATACTTTCAAGCTTACAGAGTCTTCACCAAGAAAGCACTCTAACTTCTCTGAAATCTTGACTTGGACTGCTGACAACTTGTACTTGAAAACTCATTTGACCTCTCAGCACACTCTCTTTAGGGCTCATGGATTTTGGAAGACCAGTCCTTTGGCAGCACGCAGCTCACCCTGACACGAAAAGGGTCCCATACAACTGTCCCATAAACATCTGTCAGTAATTCAAAAACTTCAGACTGTTTTAAAACATGCTTTTATTAATCATCTAAAAACACAGGCATCCCACATCAGGTAGGTAAGGAAGCAAGGGTGAGGCACGTGAGACTTGTTGCGCATACCTGCCATGCACACATCTTTTAGAAAATCAGTAACAGGCCACTTTCTGCTCTTGTCATTTCTTGTGGATCTTCCCCTTTTATTTTCATGATCCCATGATTTCACTGGGCCCTAGAGCCACACTGAAAGAGACTGCCTGCTGGGCTAGGAGCTGAATGAGAAGCACTCCTTCTGTTCTTAAGTCTTCCAACTTGTCACCCAAATCTCTTCATCCCTGAGCCTCGTTAGTCTTGCCCTTGGCCTTGAACGACGACGCTTAATATTACACTTTAAAAAAACAGAACGCGACACTTATTTCAAAGATTAACATTGGACATCACTATAGAATACAACTTTGCCATGGCATTAACTCAGAATTTAGTAATATGGCCTCGGTTTGAAGACACTCTATCCATATGGTAAAAGATGATACTGGGACAGTTTTCTGAAAGAAGCTAGTTTCTCGGTATTTCTCCAACATTTGTGTGTCATGTGCAATGTTTATTTATTTTATTTGGTTTGCCCCACAATTAACATCCCCAAATCACAGAATCACAGAATCAGTTGTTCCTATCGGTTAACATTTGACCTTGGAAAATGCTATGTCTCATATTTCCAATCTATGACTTTAACAGCTTCATAAAGAAAATCAGAAAGTTCTGGGTCCTGAGCATCATCTTGATGGCTTCATTATAAGACAAAATGAAAAAAAGTTCACACAGAATTATACAAGTATAAAGGGGTTCCAAAAAATATTTTGAGTTGGAAGGCGAATCTGAGGTATTTATTCCTCTGTTGCACAAAAGATTATATTCATGATTAACTTGTGAACTGCTGATTGTTTGGAGTGCAATTCGTCATAGATCATAAGAGATCTTTGGTCACAGAGGCTAGGGGAAGTACGGGAACTTCTGACAGATTTGTCATCTCAGATCATATATTACAGCTGCATGACACACATTTCCTTTGAATTATTCCATCAGAATTCACATCCATAGCCAGCATGTCAAAATATTCTTTCTTAAAATCTGATCTTCTCAATCTTCACATTTCCCTAGTTATTACTGGAGACCAATAGACCTAGTGAGCAACGTGATCATCCCTGACTCCAAGCTCATCCCAGCTTCCCAAAGTCCTAATGGTTAGGACTTAATGACATCATCCCATCCCTTTTAGAAGAAAAAGAAGCTTAGGCTTAAGGGATGCCAGAATGCCCGGCAAGCTGTTTTCTTTTTCCTTTGTTTAAACTCAATATAATTTAATATTCAGGTGGAGTTTCCCAGAAGCAGACTCATAAAGATGTGGATTTCAATGCAAGAAATTTATTTGGGAGGTGCTCCCAAGAAGTGCAATCAGAGCAGAGACAGAGAAGTAGGCACAGAAGAGAACAGAGACATAGATCCCTAAGTTCCTGCTTCAGGCCCAGTGGGCAAGCCTGGCTCTCCGCTCACTAGGAAACGAGATAATGGATAGATCCAGAGTACAAAGAATTATCAAGTCCTTTCTGGAGTTCTGGCTAGTCCCCCTTCCTCAAGAGCTTTCTGGTTATCAAATGTCCCTACCACAACCACGAGAATGGCCAACAACAGAGAAATACGTTATATATTTCAGTAGGGAATCTGCCCAAAGCAAGAGTAGAGCACCTTTTCACATGTCCTCACAGGGATAGCCAGTCATATCCAAGTACAAGTACCTTAAAAGATTTTCCACTAAGCTTTAAAATAATAATAATAATAATAATTAAAACTCTCTCAGTGCATTGTTACTGAATTTGGAAAAAAAATCAAACTCTTTGCTGCAGCCGACAAGGGGCTGGGTGAGCCAGCTTGTGTCCCTCCCCTCCCACCTGGGGGTGCCCCCCCCCCCCCCCCCCCCCCCCCCCCCCCCCTCTGGCCTCCTTACACCAACTCTGTCACACTCTGGAACCTTGGCCACGTGTCCCTCTGATGGGAATGTTCTTCCCACATGGGGCATGGCTGGGGTTGGCCATCCTTTAAGTCCCAGATGAATTATTCAGGGAGTCCTTCTCTGGCCAGATTATCTAAGGAGTCTCCCAGTGCCACCTCCAGCCTCCCACCTGCCACACCTGAAAATTACTTCCTCTCAGAGCTCAGTGTTCCTTGCTTTCTAATATCTCCCTAGTTCATAATTATATAGTTTACATATTTATTTACTTTTTTATTGTCGTTGAGTGTTTCATTTCGTGCCTGGTGCTTGGCACATGGTAGGTGCTCAATAAATATTTGTTGAATGAATGAATGAATGAATGAATGAATGAAATGGCATTGGACAAATTCCGCCTCCTTCCTAAACAAATTTTCTACATTGAAACAGATTCTGGTTTGCTCATATCATTAGTTAGAAGCCAAAGCACTGACTAAGGCTCCAGAGTGGGAAAGGAAAGCCGTCTGAAGGACAAGAGCAAAATAAATCGGAAGCTCCCAGAGCCAAAAATATGGGAATTCTTAACAAGGTAAGAGCTGTCTGGGCTCTCCCGGCAATGGTGGCCCCAAAAGGTGTCCCTGGAAGGAGTGTGGCTTTCTGTACCTTCCGGTTATGTAGATCCCAGCTTCTCCTGGCAGCCACAAATGCTTCAAATGCTTTTAAATCCATTTATAGCTCCTGCCAGTACCACATCTTGAAAATAACAAGCTTGTTTCATTTTATTATCAGTGGCATGGAGAGGTATTTCCTCTTATTTGATCCAAATTCCCCTCACTCAAGAATTTCAGAATATGGTGAAAAAAAAAACCCATCTATGTTTATCTTATCCATGCGGCTCAGGGACTTCATGTCTCAGGAGGTGCCCTTTCTTCTCTAGCAGGAATCTTTCAGGTTGATGACTCTAGCTGTGGGACCCATCTTTCTAGAGTCACCACCAGAATTACCAGTGGGCCCTCTCCAGGTCCATTCACAGCCTCCGTGAGCAGGGGCAACCAGAACTAAACACACTATCCTCAGTCTTAGGTGCCAAAAGGTAACTCAAAAACCCATCTTCTGCTCTTTTTCTTGATGATAACACACACACACACATACTCACAGCAACAAACTGAGCTGACAGCCGATCCTGCCTTTCCTACATAGAGTTTGGGCTCTTTCGTCTTAATATAAAACCTTGCCCTCATGTTCATGCAGTGTCTCCTTGGCTGATCACGGATCTGGCCCTGCCTGCTTGGCTCTTTGCCGCCTAAAAGTTTAAGGCCACCCACGAGCAAGTGCTTCCTCCCTCACGTTGTTAAGTTCAAATAGTCCTAAGTCATTGCTACGAAAATATTCTTCTTGCACTTTACCCACACCAGTAGCATTTACGAATAGCTTTTGTTTCTTGACATTCTGTGGAAGAAAAATAAAGCAGCCCCCCCCTCATGGTAACACGATTTTAAATGTCATAGGCCTTCTTCTCTTTCCCCATGTATGCCCTTTTCTGAGAAATCTTGTCAAATCTCCTCTGAAGGTCAAATGAGACTACATTGCCCAAGTGCTTATTTACCGCCCCCTCCGAAAGCTCCAATAAAATGATCAAGTATGTTCTTCCTCTTGCAAAAACCATGTTATCTGGCCCCCAGTAGGTTTTTGTTTTCTTTTGAGATATTAACTGGACAAGTTCATGAAATCCTAGAGGGACAATAAAAAGGACTCCCTCATTAGAAAAAAAAACAGAATTTTATACACCATGTAAGCCCAGAGAAAAAGGGCATACAAATCATAAAGATAATTATGCTTTTACTCGGTAGTCAGTGTCCAGGTGAGTTGTGTTCTTCTTTTGTGCATTTCTGTATTTCCCAAGTTTTCTGCAACAAACATATTTTGTAGACAAGGAAGGAAAGAGTTGTATTTAAAAGGACAAGTGACTCCAGCCCAGCTGGTGGCGCCCTCTGCAGCCATAGATAACATCCCCTCGAATGACCCCTCGGGCTGTTGAGACAAACATAATTCAGTGACACCACCATGGCTGTCAGGGTATTGTAAAGAGGGGCAGGACACACTTCTTTGCCCTTGAGGAGTCAGTCAAAGGAGAGAGAAGACTCACTCACTCTACCAGTATTTATCTGGGGCTTGACCTGCCAAGTACACAGCTTCTCATAAAGCCTCCGTCCTTGGAGGGTCAAAACATAATGTTTAAACATAAGGGCTCCGGACTTAAGAGTTCCTGGGTTCAAATCTCACTCCATCACTTGTTAGCCATATGACTTGGGATGAATCTCCCAACCTCCCAGCGCTCTGATGACCATGGCGGTGTGTTGGGAGACTTAAGTAAGACTAGAACTGTGAGGTGCCTGGCATGGAGGAAGTGTGGCAGAAGGGTTAACAACTTTACCCTCCTCCACTGAATGCACAGGGCTGCAGCCCAAGCCTGCAAAGTCAAGTCATGTTGAATGCTGGCGCCAGGCCCTGCTCATTTTTCCTACAGAGACAAAGGCAGGGGAAGCCACATGCTGTCTCTCAGGCCGCTATGGTTCCTAGTAAAGCCTCAACTTTTCTAAATCACCGTAGACGGTGACATCCTTCCTTTGCATGAGTTTTGGAGCCCGTATTTTCCAGTACATTTGCCCTTTCTCCTTCCAGGTATGCGGTCAGCAGATTTGGGCCAGTTAGGTTTCTAGATTCCCCGGGAAATCTACAAGAAAAGACTGGCTCACACAGGCTACTCAATGTTTGCCCTGTTCCCCTTGGCTTCATTATTACTCTTTCCTCAATTTGCTCATCAAAAAGTCCAGTGCAGCCCTACTGTTTCTGTGATCTTAGAATGAAGACTCCAGGAACCCAGGTGATGAGCTAGAGACCGGGGCATCGTGAGTCTGATAAGGAAGCCTTCTAAGAAATTCTTCCAGGGCAGGTAATTTGGATCTGTCTCCTCCTTTACCTCTCCCCTGGTCAGGCACAGCCAATGGAGAATTTTCTATTCCTTTTTTTTTTTTTTGGTGGGGGGAGGGGTATAGAGATATATATACAACACCAATATATTGGTGTTGAAACCAATACCAACATCATAATGAGATTTTTCTGAGATCATTTGTTTCAGAACAGATATTTTTGGCAGTTCAGTAATTCCACAGATCCAATAACTTATTTTTATTTTGACTAAGTAAAAATAAAAAGTCCTATTTAGAAAAAGAAATTCCAGTATTTCATCTCTTAGCTACACCAAAAAAAAAAAAAAATGTCTTTACAAAGAAGAAAAAATCAGAAGGCAGAGAAATAAGGCATTCTTAGTTCTACTGATACAGCTCCATTTTTGGTTCATATGTAACGTAATTTCAGTCAAAAAGGTTTCAGATGGCATCGACAGGTAACATAACATTGGGTAAGGAGAAGAGATCCTAAGGGGCAGAATGCTTCTATGTCTACGGAGTGACTGGTGGGGCCCTGAGCTGCCGAATGTTGATATGTTTAGGAATCAATAACAACCATGCACAGCAGATGTGGCAGATGGCAGCCCGAAGTTGGCTCAGACGTCACTGTGCTACCCATTCATGTTAACTTAGTGATGGGAAAGCCCTGGGACACCCCGGCTCCTGAGTCTGTACGACGCTCCGGCAAGACCAGTGGAGAATGCACAGCCAGGACGCCTGGCCGGGGCTAAGGAGATGCAGCATCTTGGCTCTGCCGTGCCCCTTCTCACCCTCAGCTCGGCAGAGCAAGCAGGCCAACTTCCAAGTGGCCAACTTCCAACTGTCTCTATTTTCTCCTCTCCTCCCCAGAAACTCCAGGCGCAGAGGATTTACTCAACGAGGAGCCTTTTCCGTCCCGTGTCTGCTTCTTCAAGGGCCTGCGAGGGCCTCCGCTAACTCCCTGGGGAAGGGCAGTTCAGGCTGAATATGCTCCTTTTAAAAATTCTTTGGGCTCCTTTCTTTTTCTGGTTTCAGCTCCCATGCCCTCCACTCGCTCGCAGCTCTTCCTCAGGCTCCAAGGTGCCGGGACTCCTTGTGGAGCCCTTCCCAAGATGGTCAGGTCCTCTCTTCCCTGTTCCTCCTTACCCAACACATCCCCGCTTCAATGAGAGGCTCTCTGCTTGAACAGTTCAACCTCCTGCACCGAAGACAGGATTTATCCGTGACCAAATGAAGACTTTGAGGACTCTGCCACCCCTCACTGGAAAGCCAGTTCTTCTCATGACCCAGGGCTGTCCTACCCAGGCCTCTTCCATGCCTGAGTCTCTCCGGGTCCAGCTGGGTTCGCCGCCTGCCCTGTCCACCAGCGTGGCCTTGGGGCCGAGCCCAGTTCCTGGCACCAAAGGCAGACACCCACAGGTGCTGCGAGCGACCACGTGATGCTTTCCTGCTAGAATTCTCCTTCCCCTTCTGGAGACTTCCTGCTTATTCTCCAGGACCATGCTTGCACCTTACTTCCTCCGGGAAGTTTTCCTTGAATCCCTTGGGTCTTCCGAGTTTTCCCTTCCTAGCCTCCTGGACCCCTCATTTGGGCACCAAGCATGCTGTAGGTGGTTCGCAGGGGTAGTCCCCTGCTTGACTGTGAACTTGTAGGGAGCAGAGACTGTCTTCATCTTCTTTGTAGCCCTGTGCTTGGCGGGGCACATTATCTGGTCTACCGGAAGATAAGAGTTTGCATCGAATACTCTTCTGACTGCCTGGGGACCCTGGGCCCAGGGGCACTGCATTTCCTAAATAACTGACTCTTCACCTTACTTGAGTAGTAGAATACCCTGGCTTTGAAGCAGGAAAGGGAGAGAGGCTTATCGAAAAGAGGATCAATATTTGTAGGTTAATCATTAGCTTTCAAACAGGATCAAAAAAATCTTCATGTTTTTCAATTGTGTTCTTTCAGGAGCAGATCTGGGTGCTATCTTGCCTGGGGCTGGTGGCCTCTTCCAGCTCCACGGAGGCAGAATGTGTGCTCCTCTTGACAGGGCATCCGGTTCCCCAAGTAATGACACGGACCTGCGGGTTATTCTCCCAAGAAGACGCCAAGCGCAGGGATCCTTGAGGCCAAACCCTAACATATGTGAGGCATATGAGCAGGGAACAAGGTTACTTTTATTTCCAGAGCTGGCTTCTCTCAGGTAAACCTTGTTCTTTAGGACTATACTCACCATTTCTTCATCTTTTAATTTACTTAAATCAGCACCTACTGAGCCCTTGCCAGGGGCTGTGATACTGTGGGAAATTGAAAGATGCAAAAGACTGACCCTACAGGAAAACCAGCAGGATTAAAACATAATAGGAACCCCCGGATAAAAACCTTCATCATGCTATAGAGATAAAATTGAATTCAAAGAGCATATCAAACACCTCCTGGGAGAAAGGGGCTGTGCCACATGCTGGAGGCCAGAAGTGAGGACCGCTGTGGTCCTCCAAGAACTTGTTCTGCTGAAGTGAGTACCCTACCAGAGCAAGCCCTGGGCACCCAGTGGGGTTATTACACATCCCTTCCCTTTGCACGGCTCACAAGGCCCTGAAGATCCCTGAGGGTTAACAGAATGAACGCAGTGGAGCCTGGCCCAAGGACATGCCATCTTTCCAGGTAGGAGGGGGCCCTATCAGGCTGGAGTTCCTGAACCCCACACACTTCCAGGAGAACAGATAGCTCCAGCCCCTTCCATCCAGGTTCTAGTGGGGAGAGGTGCTTTGGAGTGCTATGTCTAGACGGAGAGGACTGGGGGATCCCTGGATGGAGGGGGCTGGAGGCCCTAGGAAAGATGGAGCTGGGTGTACCTGGATGGAGGGAGGGGGTTGGAGGACTCTAGGATGGGGTAGGGGGTAGAAGCTGAGTGCACCTAGATGAGGGAGCCCGGAGGACTCTAGAATGGAGGGAGGTGTACCTGGATGGAGGGGTGAGGGGTAGGCCAGGATAGACGGTCTGGACACGCCAGGATGGAAGGGGCCGGGAGGGGGGATCCTGGCTCCCGGGCTGCGGTTTTTGGTGTGGGATCCTGTGCCCCTTGGCTGCTGGCGAGGGGCTGGCGCCCCCCGCCCCTCCCCCCGGGCCCCGCCACCCACCTGGGCATGCCCTGGCGTAGTCGAAGCAGCAGTCCCCCGTGAGGCGGCAGGCTTGGTCGCAGAAGCACGTCCCGTAAACCCTGTCCAACCTCCAGCCGCGCACGAAGCAGGCGGCGTCCCGGCCCGGGCAGCAGCGCCCCGCCTCGGCGCAGCCGGCCAGGGTCCCCGGCCACAGCCGCGCCAGCACGCACAGCGCCATCCACAGGGTCCTCATGGCCAGCGCTCCCGCGGCGCCTGCCACGCCGCAGAGCTTCGGGAGAGTGGTGAGCTCGTCCGAGAGCGGCGGGCCCGAGCAGCCCGAGCGGCCGGCGACGCGCAGCCCGGCCCGGCCCTGCCCCGCGCCCGGCCCCCGCCCTCCGCGCCGCCCCTCCCCAGCCCTGGCGGCGCGCCGGGTCCGGGCGGGTGCTGCGGCTGCCCCCTGCCAGGCGGGGAGGGCGCGTCTCCCCGGGGCGCCCGGCAATCAGCGCTCGGAGCACCAGCCCCCTGCCCGCCGCCAGCCCGCTCGCGGCCCTGCGCCCCTCGCCCGCGGGACCGCCCCGGGAGAGAGCCGAGCAGCAGGTGCTCGGGGATCCCCGCGACCCAGGGAGCGTCGGGTCCGCCAGCAGCTCGGCCAGGGCGGCCACATTTCCTGCCTGCAGCCTCTGTTTCCTAACGCCTGGTGTCACGTTCATGAGTGGGCATTTTACTCTCAAACTGGAGACGAAGAGCGCTTGATGCGCAGCAAACGGGTCTCCGCCGCACAGTGTGAGCGGGTCACCCTGTCTTCGCCCAGGAAAACTCATACTGTATTTTTTTTTCCGGGACACCAGTCCCCGCGGGCCACAGAAGCCCCTTAGAAGCAAGGAAATAACACCAAAGCAGCATCCTTTCTTTGCTATATTTTATGATGAGATTTTCCTGGACCAAGAAAATGCCACTTTGATGCACTGAAGAGGCAGTTGATGAATGTTAAGGAAAGGATTAAAAAAAATAAACTGTGCTCTGCTTTCTGTTAAAGCAGATTTCCCCAAAGAAGCTCTGCTTAATGATATTCTAGCAATAACTCCCGCTTTAATAAAGCTCTCATCTAACTCCTCATACATTTCTTTCCCCCTTTCTCTCCAAATTTATTACATTTTCTGCTCCTCACTCTTTTTTTTAACCAAAAACTGTCCTGGAAGTTTCATTTTATTTTATGTTCTTAAATCATTTAGACTATTACGGTTTTGGTGAGAAACCAGGAATATGAAGTTTTCTGTATCTGTGAACCCAAGATTTCTAATGAATTTCAGAGACTAATTTTTTTTCTTTCTCATGCAAAGACTTCTTATAGAGGACTTTCCTTTACTCTTTAGAGAGACAAATAACAAAAAATGTTAAAAATCCTTTACTATAACAGTAGTAAGACAAAAAAAAGTTGTGAAGTGAAAAAGATTTCATACATTGTAAGAACTGTATCTTATGAACTTTAAGGAAAACACACTCTAAAGTCAAAAAGAAATTCTTTCTTGGTGATTATTTATACAAATAAATCTCAGGGTTGGAAATTCATTTTTGTCTTACTCTTTAGTTAAGTCTCTCTTAGTTTGGCAATTTAAATAAATAATACATACTTTTATTCTCGGTAGTTGGTACTAAAACTCTGTCGGCAAATTACAGCCTCTGCCTTTTACTTGTGTTGTAGGTTTTATTGGCAGCTTTGTACTAACTCATTCATGTAATTTATCCCCCGCTTCTTCCCTAAGGCTGTCTCCTTTATGGAATGCCTTTAGCTGGAGACAGATTCTGTAATGCCATAAGAATCTGGAATTGTTCCAGATAAATGTAAAGGAGAAGGATCCACTAAGTTAATTTTCAGGAATAAAACATGAAATGAAGTGATACGGGGAGTGGAAGAAGATGACCTCTGGTTTAAAAGGATTAAAGGTATAATGTCAAATGCCTGCTCAAATACCTTTCCCCTCCCCTCCCCCCCCCCCCCCTTTCCCTTATGCCTAGGCAAAACCAAAACCAAAAACCAAAAACAGAAAGTTGGTGGTCTGTGCTCAGGAGGTTTGGGTCTGTTTCTGGGTCTATGACTTCTGACAGATCACCTCGGTGTCATCCCCTCCAACACAGAACGCTATACCTTTTCCAGTTGCTGAGATGTCTACAGAAACAAGGCAATATGTGTAATTTGAGCACAAAGTGGGCACTAATATCTCCGAGTGTCCTAATGTTCCCCCACTCCCACCCCATAATTTAAGCCTAAAACCAAGTAAAAGATAAAGTTGGTTTTAATCGTGTGCAAAGTAGAGACAAGCACAATGTGAAAAAGAAACCACAAATAAATCATTACTATGTTAACGCCAAACATAAAAGGGAGCTTGTCTCTGATAAGTAACATTGAAAAAAAAAATTCATGGTTCAAGTTAAAGCTTGCACTGTCTTGCAGACATCAAGATAAGCCTCCCGTAGCAGGCCCAAGCAAAGGAAACAGTTCCTGCAGGATGGGGCAAAGTCGGGGGACACCGACATTTAAAGCCATGGACTCCACATACTTACTGGAAACTGGGTGCAGGCAAATGTAACCATCTCTCACTTTGTTTTCCATGTCTCGTAGATTTTTGGAGAATAGGAGTCATCTCAGTGATCATGTGGATGAATATAGGAAGTAATCAAATGCACCTTAAAAGTCACCCTTTCTTCTGAAGTGCTGTCTTTGGAAGCCATCCAAGATTGGTAAAATTACAGAGGGGAACAGAGGCCTTTCTGTTCATCACATTCCAGAATGCAGTCATTTTAAAGGACATCCACATATATGATTTCATTCAACCTTGCATAACTGTGAGGAAAATATTGGCACCCCCATTTAACAGATGACAGATTAGACATGTAGCTAATTAGTGACAAAAGGGGACTAGAACTAAAATTATTCTTTCCAAAACATTACAGAGTTCTTCCCATTACTTCAAGCTTGCTGCTGGTGGGGAGATGGTAATGGAAAGTAGAGACAAGTAAGATTAAGTGCTTATACTAAATACTGTAACTAGTTTATGGGGAAATGAAAATACAAATCATTTCCCAAAGCTTTTGGATACATTTAGAATATAAGATGGATCGGGGGTTATTAAAGGCACCCAGAATGCTTTGAGGGAGGGGGAGGGACCCTCTTGAGGTTGAAGAAAGGAGCAGTTGAACCTGAGGCCAGCTTGCGGCCATTTGTCAGAGGCAGAGTACTGCACGGATATCAATAACATTGTATTTTGTTGAATACCAGACACCTTTGATTGTAAGAGTCACAGTCCTATCTTACACAACACGAAAATCCGGTACGTAAGACATAAGGAAAAAACTACCATAGAATAATAAGTCATGGTGCCTATTTATGCATGGATTGCAGGATTGTCTTAGTCTGCTTGGGCTGCCATAACAAAAAGCCGTAAACTGGGTGGCTTAGAAACAACAGAAATTTATTTCTCTCAGTTTTGGAGGCTGGGAGGTCCAAGATGAAAGGGCCTGCAGATTCGGTGTATGGTGAAGACCTGCTTTCTGGTTCATAGACAGTGCCTTCTAGCTGTAACCTCACATCCAGAAGGATCCAGAAGAGGGTGGGAGGTTTGTGGGGTCTCTTTTATAACAGCACTGATCTCCTTCGTGGAGGCTCCATCCTCATGACCTGAGTACCTTCCAAAGGCCCCACATCCTCATAACACCACCTTGGGCATTAGGTTCCAAAATATAGATTTGAGGTGGACATAAATGTCCAGTCCATTGCAAGAATGGATCTCAGTGTTAGAGATGTTAAAATATGAGAAAATGTTCATCTTAGAATTCATGACAAATTGGAAGAGATAGCACTTTCCTCATTGACATTTTATAGCATGTTTTTTCAGTTCATCCTGTAAGGCAGATGTTGTTAATTTTCTCATTTTGTGGATGGTGGGTTTCCGAGGGGCTAAATGACCTCCCCAGCAGTCCGTGGGCACAAGCCCAGCTCTCTCCTCAGAACCAGCACCGCTCATTGGGTTATGGTCATTCACTTCCTGTGGGTCAGATGCTCCTCCAGGCTGAGGACCAAAGTTGGGTAAGAAGTGGTCCTTTCCTAAAGAGACTGAGGTCGAATGGACATGCCAGGCATATGAAGTTTTCACCGTGTGTTGTGATGAGAGTGGTCCTGAATGGGGGTCCTGGGGTGTTGGAGACACTGGAGCTGGCCAGACAAGTGGGAGATTGAATTATAATGAATTCTGAGTTATAAAGAGTAGGAGGAGTTACAAAAATCCTAGTCATACAAGACAAGGATTGCGTCCCTATTTGTCCCTTTGCTTTCTTCCTGCAGAGTGCAGACATAGCCAGTAGGAAAAGATTGAATACTTTTGGGGAAGGTCCTGCCTTCATGGGCTGATACATATTCATTTAATAATGCCAAAAATGCAGACAAGTATCCAAAGAGACTTGTTTAAGATTGGTGTACACCATGTACCTGGAGCAATTCTCCCCTTACAGCCTTCCGCCAAGTGTTCAAGAACACCACTGCCAAGGCTTATGCTGCCAGTTTTGCATCTTTGACAGTATCAATCAAATAAACATGGAGTGGATGGGACGCCTGGGTGGCACAGTCGGTTAAGCGTCTCCCTTCGGCTCAGGTCACGATCCCGGGATCCTGGAATCGCGCCCCACGTCAGGCTCCCTGCTCAGTGGGGAGTCTGCTGTTCCCTTCTGCTTGTGTGCTCTTTCTCTCTCTCTCTCTCTGTCAAATAAATAAATAAAATCTTTAAAAAAACAAACATAGAGTGGATATGGAAGTGGTAAAGAAATTCTTTGGTTGCCCCCAAAGTATTCACTCTTCCCTTCTTTTTCTAAAGTACCCAGATTTTCGCTTATGGAGAGAGTACCCCTTCCCTCCATTGTGTGACAGCAGATCTTTTTGGGTGGATGGACCCCACTCCCAGCTCTAGAGATGGGCTCTGAGGGTTAATTCCACCCTCAGCCTATGGACCCGTCCAGGGATTGGCCCAAGCAGAGCTCCAGTTTCGGGATGTTTGTTCCATACACGATCGGGCTTCACCTTGACCCTTACCGGATGTGAATGAGGATGCAGAGTGGCCTCAGTGAAGCCAGCCCGAGATCTTAGCCAACAAGCCAAGGAAGTCTGAGCCAGGGGTCACAGGGCTTGGACTGGATGACGCCTGAATTCACACTTCCCCTTTGCAGTCTCCTGCGCCAAGTCTTTCTTATTTATGCCTTTTTTGGTTGGGATTTCTGTGGCTTCAAACAAAAGCACCCAACAGA